CAAATATGTTATAAACCTCAGCCCAAAACCCCTATTCCGGGGTGCTAGCCTGCCATGGGTACAATATAAAATACAATTTCACAAGGTATCATCTTGGAGAGTATTTAAATCATTAATGTGCATATTACACAAACAATTGGATGTGTACAGATACATACACAACAGTCTCACACCATGTGTGCTGTCATGACCGCTAAGAATCAATTAACCACAAAAGCAATTTCAACACCACAGATCAGTGCACCAATACACAACAGGGTGTTTATAGTGTACTGCTTGGACTACAGAAATAAACATTCCACTGATAGGATTTTTATATCAAATTAAATATACTGAAACACAAAGTAATCTTAAAAATGAGTCAATATTACACTAACCATATTAACACATTGAAACAAATCTACAATCTACAAATCACAACATACATGACTACAGAAAGCAAATATTAATTGAAAAAATAAAAACACAGTTTTTACCAAATATAAGCCAATTCATAATTCTTGTATCACAGTGTCAAGGGAAAAGACCCATCTTCGAGACACATGCCCCAGCCTCTATTGTCCCCAAAAAGGTGAGTGTGTAATATATTCATTAGAAAACATACTATTAGGCACAAGGTAGCCTTGATCCGAGGCTGTACTGAAAGATAAGTATATCTATGGATGCCAGTCTCTTATACAGACAATTTAGAAATTATTATTTAAACTAATAATTAGACTTGTGCATGTCTAGGCACAAGGCAACAGCACCAGTAAAAATAGTCATGTATTTAGTTTTATCTCAAAAAGTGAATGTTATTAGCATGATTAGTACTGTAGTAATTAATTCCTTCCTGCCTTCATCATGTTCATGAAGTTAAACAAGTACATCCATAAACAAGTAATTAAATTGGTCTCGACAAACAACGAATCTTTGGAAACATGGCGGCAAAATGTTGGTGTTAACTGGTTATCCAGTGATAAGTGTGTCGCTCTGTGTCAACTAGTCCTTGCCCCACTTTTCCCTCTCCAATACAGGGTTTAACAGTCTTTATCAGCAAGTCCAGGTTTCTTAGTCATTTTTCATAAGGGTGAATACGAATAGCCAATATATATATATTTTCACTTAATTTAGGTATTAATCATACCACACCATGGTTTCCATTGGTTTTTGTCATAGTCATTGCATGGGCGGATACAGAGGGGGGGGGGGACGGGGGTGCGCACCCCCCCTTTTTATTTCGAAAAAAATCTTTATTTCTGTATAAATTACCACCAAAGACAATAAATAGATCTTAGTTGTGCACCCCCCCTTTTCAAAAAAGCTGTATCCGCCTCTGCATTGCATTGATTTTGAAGCACTTGGGGTATTGTAGTTTGTAACATTTAGAATAACTGTACATATTACTATTAGCATGATTAAGTTATATTATACTGAACATGTGTCCTGTTGTCAAATACATTATTACCATTCAATTTTAGAGTACTTAGAACTTTAAAAAAGTAACTAATAAGGAATAGTAAGTGGGACGATAAACCAATTAATCGGTGGATCGCAATTTTTTACTTCTAAAAACATGTATTGATTACCATGATTACAGTTGCACATAAGTTAAAAATATTGATTCTTATCTTAAACGTTTGCCATAATAACTGTCACACCATACAGTAATTAGTAGTGAAAATTAGTGGTGGAAATGTAAATATTTTCATCAAATGTGCCATACCTGACACTGCCAATTATTAATCTTCAGTGTGCCATGTATTCGACCATCTTGTCAATAAAAGAAGTTGGCTTATGCATCACAGATAAGAGCACATGCAAGTATTGTGATATCTATCAAATCAGACAGTTGGTGTATCGTCCCAGCCCTCAACAGTTAGTCAAACAGTAGATCATGGTAGATACTAACATCCAGCAATCATAATAATATTGGCTTGTATTTATGGAATAAACTGACTGTACTATATCTGTACTATGTACAGTGGTGGTTACATTTTCTTCAGACAGGACCTTATTGTTAATACAACCTATATATATATATATGAAGGAGTCCTTGTTATAAGGTCAGAGGAAAACATATTACAGATCTAACAGGTCCTTAGATCAGGATATCATCGCAAAAAACACAAGGACTCCTCTAAAGTTTTAGATGTCAAATTGTCATTTCATGTACATGTGATACACACATTTCCTAAAAATTAGACAAAGTGACCAGTGTATGTAGTGTGGAAATTAACAATATCTCAGCCTAATTCCTTAATCTTATATATATTAATTACCTAAACAGATAAATCAATGCACAAACAGACCCCAAGCACATCTAGCCTAAGATTTGGCCTCAGATGGGTGATTTTGTTGTTTAACATGTTTAAAAGTCAACAAGACAAACAGTTCATCAGGACCTCATCGAATGATGATGTAAATAGAAGTACAATACCCACACAACACCAAAAACTATATGACAGCTTTCATTAGTCAAGCATGTGTATGATTAGGCATAGTTTTTAAAATACCATATAGATCACAGATGATGAAAATAATCAAACCATGTACACAACTGATGCTTCCTTCTGTGTTTCAAGTCACTTCACACTAGTATAATCACATGATAATATCAAAATATACTGTACCACATGGGGTAACAATTAAATCAAAATAAATGTGGTACAAAATGGTTACCGGTACTTAGAATGGTCTGCGATCGTCTGGATAGGTACTGGATACACTATTATATGATGTCTGTATCGTCTTATGAATAGTCAAAAGATGTATAAATACTCATTGAAATTATCTGATTTAAGCTGCAGACAGATATTTGCTAGACATTCATTCAAAATGAAATGTCACAATAACCTGAAACTGGTTGGTTACACACTCAACATTGGGTGACATGTCTCACATGCATGTCATTCTTTCGTCTGTCATTCCCACGATTTACACTTACCCTTTGAGAATCATACTCTGCTGTTGGGGTGATTTCAATGACATCGTTGTCAGTGTAATCGGCACTCTGAACACTTGAAGATTCCATAATTACTGTCACTCATTTAGTTCTCGGAACCTCTGCAACATATCCAAATTTATGCAGATTGTTTATGGAAGCAGCGCCATTCTGCAGGCAAACAAAATCGGTCTCCCACAAACATTTCATCAGTATCCTTATGTGAACTACCGAGTCATCGCGAACATGAAATAGAAATATTGAAATTAGAAAAGAAAAGATGACACACTATGTATCTTTATCGAAAAATTCCTGTCAAATTGAGTCATCTTGGCCCTTTCAATATTATGGACTGAGAAATATTCACTTCCGCTAAAGTGCGCATGATAGAATGTCACGCATGCGCGGCAAAGCCAAAACATAAACTGGGCTTCAGTCTACCTTTTCGCGCAATATTGGACTTGTGATTGCATTGAAAAACCAGCTGAATATGAAAGTCGGGTAAATCCAAATCACGAAACGATATTATTCCGAAACAACTATATTCTTTCCAACAGAACACTGTCCACTGACGTAATGTTTCGGTAGTTGAATGATGAGTTGTCGTATCGAGAGATTTCATGGTATTTTCCCACTTTCAAGTTTTCTTTGTGTGAACACGTTTTTCTTGTTTATGTGCCATAAGAAAATGGAGGTGCATTTTTATACAAAAATACAAACTTGCCCGCCAATGATATAGGGTTACAACAGAATATTTCGAACATGTAAATTGCATTATGATTCGACCACTTCCACAATTTCAAACATATCTATTATATTACTGTGAATGTGAGTGGCGGGTCCTACTAGTACTGATAGAGCAGAACATGCTTGAACACGTTTCGCGAACACCTGTTGTCAATACTCGTCATCACTGATTTAATATATTTTGAAAATTAAATTGGTCTTGGACTTGCACTGGAATCTCTTTCGGAAGATAATAGTATCCTTTGGCGTTGGAGCTTTGAACACACTGACATAATACATAAACAATTGACCATGGGCACTAACGAGAGTTTCCCCAGAGTAGTCTCCCCTAACCGTAACATCTAAAGTTGAGACCGCCTCCGTCAGAGCAGGTCAAATCGGCCTCATGTCAGAACAGCCCCAAAAACAAAAATGTCACAACGGCCACACAAAAAAATGAAGAAGAGAAAAACATATTTTTGAGTTTCGAGGTCGTTTTGACTACAATCCGCCTCGGTGGTCTAGTGGTAGAGCGTCCACCCGGAGAGTCCTACCAAAAGATGGTACTTGTTGTTACCCAGTCTGGCGCTCGGTATTCAGGGACTAAAACAAGGACTGGTTGGCTTGGAGTTAGTATACTGTGTCTGAGTTGGGTATTCATGTTCAACTGCGGCATGGTTACTCAGTGGGCTAGCACTATAAATCAGTCCGGACTAGTCCGAACTAGTACTAGCAGACACACACGTGCATGCACGTCGCTATATAAGTGAAATTATATTGAACGCGACGTTAAACTCTTTTTCACCTCACCTTATTATCCACATTATTAATTAGTTTTTTTTGAAGAAGTAGTGCCTTCTATATTGAAAACCTTGTCGAGTAGCTAACAGAGTCAACATGATGTCCAAAATGACTGGCTTTAACGTTATCACACATTTTGTTTGTTGTTTAACCCCGAACTCAGCAATATTCAAATTTTTGACGGCCTTCTGTAAATAATAGAGCCTGGTCCAGACAATCTAGTGATTGAAATCATGAGCATCGACCTACGCAACTGGGACACGATGACAAGCATCAACCAAGACAGTGAGCTTGACCACCCGATCCCGTTAGTCGTCTCATATACGACAAGCACAGTCTCCTCTTGCAGCAAGCATGGGTTGCTGAAGACCTATTATATATCTACCGGAACCTTCACGGGTCTGTTCTTTTTAAGCATCTGATTTTAACAATGGTATTTGAATCGTTTCAATTATCCTGTGTTGTTTTGGTTATTTGGACACTGAAGATATTCACAATATAAACCTTATCAAACCATATTTATAAAATCAAACTTTGTACGAAGTGGATTCTTTGTAGAGTTCCCAAAATCCCATTCCACTACATGATTCACAATTTACATTAAACCTCTTCCCACCAATGAGGTTTTTACCGGAAGATGATGGCTGCTTTTAATAAACAAAAGCCACGCACATGCCGGTCACTATTTCATAACAAATCACCTGTATGTTTAGAATACTCTCTGGCCATAATGTGGACTACGGTTTTGTTAACATTATCTACATGTTTTCAAATATGTTTGGTGTTTATATCCCAATGTTTATCTGTTGCTGCCCCAGAGTCGGAAGGAATGTTTCGTCGCCTACCATGGTTGGATAACATCAGTACGAGTGAACCCTTGCAGAGAAATTATGGTGTAGCCGCAGCAGATGTCGACTTAGACGGCCAAATTGAATGGCTTGTTGCTGGTTTCACAGGACCAAATTATGTCTTAAAGTACAATGCTGAATTGAATATATTACAAAACATCGCCAAGACAAATATTTCTTTGAAAAGCCTACTCGACCCCAAAGGCAGAGCTATAGGTGTTTGTGCTTGCGACATTGATGGGGACGGACGGGAAGAAATATATTTCCTCAACACAAATGATGCATATGCAGGGAAGTCCAGCTACGGTGACAAACTTTTTAAATACAGAAATGGCCAGTATGTTAATTTATTTGAAGATGAACCTAATAGAAGATTGGAAGCTAAAAATTACGCAGGCCGATCCGTAGCGTGCGTTGATCGCTTTGGCTCTGGTAAATATGCAATTGCCATAGCAACATATTCTGATTCTGGAACTGGTTGTTTTGCACTTTTGGAAATGGATGAATCTCACCCATATAATAATGTAGAAACTGGTTACGTCGTTCTTAGGAACGCTGCTAAGGACGCCAGAATAGACCGATCAACCGGTGGTAGAGGAATTGTAGTAGGACCCATCTTAAATAATGATGGGAGAACGGATGTGTTTTTTGGCAATGAAGGGAATAGACATCTAAATAACAAAGGAGAAAATTTTCTATTCCAGAATCTCGGAAATGGCTCTTTTGTTGATGTGGCTGGAGTTGTTGGCATTTCAGATGAGAATGAGAACGTTAGAGGCGTGGCCATTGCTGATCTGAACCACGACGGGCTAGTGGACATCGTTTATGGAAACTGGGAAGGAAAGCATCGTGTATTTATCCAGGAAAAATCATCTGGGCAAACCAAATTCAGAAATATCGCCATAGAGGCTTTAGAAGAACCATCTTTAATAAGAACAGTCATTGTTGCTGATTTCGATAATGATAGATCGTCCGATATATTTTTCAATAACATATACGGAATGTCATCAGTCCAACCAAATCGTCTATTTACTGTAAAGGCCAGGAAAGATGCATCTCCCTTAATCACACCATTGAATCCAGGGGATGCATTAGAAGAGGATGGGTGTGGCACTGGAGCTGGCGTGGCCGATATTGACAATGACGGACAGCTTGATCTGCTCGTGTCACACGGAGAAAGTAGTGCCCAGCCACTGAGGGTATACAGTGTTAATATTGGCGGTAAAAACAGTTGGATAAGGGTCGTTCCTCGAACAAAATTTGGTGCACCTGCACGTGGTGCTTCAGTTTCCATGGAAACATCAAGTGGTGACCAACAGCTGTCTGTCATAGACGGCGGGTCTGGATACCTGTGTCAAATGGAACCAGTCGCTCATTTCGGACTTGGAAAAGACACACCTGTAAAAATGCACGTGACGTGGCCCGATGGCAGGCGAGTATCACGTGACCTAACAGAGAATGATTCAAATACTGCGCATGTAATTGATCACCCAGACTTTGTACCACCCACATCGGATATAGTATCGAGTAGGAAAGTTAATGTGACGTTAACAAAGACCAAGACGCACGAAGAACTATAAACGCGAAATTATCAGGACTTTCGTAACGCCATTTTGCCATACGTACATAAGATAGATATGTGCATCGATACGTAATATTTAATGATACTAGACAGCGTGTCCGTCAAATTAAAAAAACCCGTGTATATTCTATCATGCGCATTAAAGTTTGAACACACATCATTATATTTTCATTTATACAACGTACGTACGTGATGATATGAATAAGACTGATTGGAAACAGCTTTTCGTCCGATTATATTGATTGGATACACTGGATTGAGAGTAGATTAAATACGTTGAAAGACATCTTCTTGTGTCTTGTCTACAAGTACGCCAATAGGAGAAATAAGAGGGTTCATGTCAACACACTGATTAATCTTATTAAAATCAGATCTTAGTTCTCGCTACTCGCTGTTTAGCGGCAGCAAGAACTAAGATCTAATTTTAATGAGATTGCACACTGATTATCTTATGTGGGCGAGGGGAGATCACTCTTAATACCTAATGGCTGTGAGTGAAGTGTTCGTAATATATCCCATGCGGCGACACTTGTTTTAGAACGGAAATGCCAGTTTCGGTTCGCAGACATTTGAAAGGGAGCTGGATTTGGCCCGATGCCAATATTGTGATGCTTTATATAAATTAATGTTATAAACTGCAATATGTATAGTATCATCGGTTATAAAAAGTAGTCTATTTTCAGTGATGTTTGACCACGCAATGACAATTACCATCCCTGATAATCACAGTGGGATTCTGGCATTATTCCTTGGTCTGGACAGTTCTTATTTGGTTTGAGGTCTTATCGTGAACTACGATGCAAATAGTGTTTTAAAATGGGGAATTCTAAATGATATATACTGAACAACAAAAGTTCCTGTGACATTGACACATACACGTGCATGCACGTCGCTATATAAGTGCAATAATCTTGGACGCGACGTTAAACCCAATTTCACCTCACCTCACCTGTGACATTGAATAAGATTTAATGCAAAGTTATGTTTTTTACCAAATCTGAAACAATTTCGGTTTGCAACAGATAAAAGACTCATGTAAGTGTTCAAATGCTTTAATTTGCCATACTGACTTCAGAAAATGCGTGATTTCATAAAAAAAATGAACATGCCAAAATGTCAATTTACAAATCCCTAACGTGTGTTCCACCTCTGGATGCGATGCAAGCAACACATCTTCGTCTCATGGAATTGATCAGGCGTCGCACAAAGTTCTCTGGGATATCTGTCCATATCTGTTTCGAAGCATGTTTCGAAGTTCCTGTAGTGTCTCAGAAACACGTGGTTGACGTCGAAGGCGCCGATCCATCTCATCCCACATGTGCTCGATTGGTGAGAGATCAGGGGAGCGAGCCGGCCAGGGGATGACATTCGCCTTGTTTTGTTGAAGGAATTCCTGAACAGGTCGAGCAATATGATGCCGGGCGTTGTCATGTTGAAAGGTACTACCTGGGCAATGACGCAAAAAACGGTAGAACAACAGGGCCGATTATCTCGTCGCGGTAGCGCTGTCCATTGAGATTTCCCTCTACCACTATCAAACGGGTCCTCTGTCTTGCTGTAATCCCACCCCATACCATAACGCTGCCGCCCCCGAACCGATCTTCTTCCATGAAACAATGATTGACGTAACGTTTACCTTGACGTCGGTACACTCGAATCCGTCCATCGCTGTGGCTGAGGTGAAAACGAGACTCGTCAGTGAATAGAACGTGTCCCCACTGCATGGCCGTCGAGCGTAGACGCTGTCTGCACCACTGTAGACGTGCTTGACGGTGGTTTCCTGTCAAAATGGGACGTCTGGCGGGTCTTCTGGCGACAATCCCTGCACATCTGAGGTAACGACGTACGGTTTGTGTAAATATTCGTCGAAGGCCAGGGATGCTTCTTGCAGTCACTGTTGCTGGCTGGAATCGATTTCGTAGGTGTATTGTTCGAATCCAGTTGTCTTGTCGATTATTGGTTACGCGTGGCCTGCCACTCCGATGATGGTCTCTGACTGCATTCGTCTGTTGCCAACGTTGCCATAAACACCAAATGGTGTTTCTGTGGACGTTAAATTGTCTTGCAACATCACGTTGACTCGATCCTGCTTCAAGCAGGCGCACGCAGACGCTCAATGGCTCGCAGACGCTCATTTTCGGACAGGCGTGGCATTTCGTAATGTTGAATAATTGCGTAATTTTGATGTTTTTCTGAGTGGTTGTTGTCAGCACGATGCTAAACAATGCATATGGAGTCCCGTAACGCACGTTTTTATACCCATTCTTGGGTAGTGAAATGCACGGGTGGCCCAGTCGTCTAAGGCGCGCCGCGATTCGCTTTGCAGAGCTGCACCATACCCGTGCTCGTGGCTTTCACCGAAGTGGTAAACGTCTGAGACCTGCATCACTTCGGACTTTCCTCCCACATTAAGCTGACACGCCGCGATATAACTGGAATACTGTTAAAAGCGGTGTTAAACCAAATTCACTCACTCTAAGAAAGCAACGCAGCTGTGAAAACAGACAGCGTCCATGAACGTTATGAAGCATTTATTAAGATGACGGAAAGTCGAAAGTAATCTGCATAATGAGAGATCCAAAACGGAATTTTACTGCATGAGACTATCATCGTTATGCGTATCGAATTGGGGTAAACAGAAGCCGAGACACTGACTTGCACGATAACACAAGATTGCACGATAAGTCAAATACGATTCAAATGTGCTATACATGCGGGTAAAAATATAAAATCAATGTAACATAATCGATATATATTTCAAATGAATCATTCTCGAACCAGTGTCTGCATTGGCAATGATTTGTTTTAGGCGAGTTTGGTTTAAGGCCGCGCTAGGTTAATAATAAAAAAAACCCCTGGTCCAGCGATTATGCAGTTAGGCGAGAGGATATGGATTCAAACCCAGTGTTGCTCCTATTTCGGTGATGCGACATGGATTATGAGTGGATTTTACAGTTTTTTAAAATATACATTCCGGCATTAATCAGGATGGGGACACCAAGAAAGTTGTAGCAATTGTAGCAATGTGGGATTCCAACCCGTGTTTCCGACGTGAGACAAACCAACGCTTTAACCACTGTTATTCCGCCGTTCCGGCACTGACTTGTTCAAGGCCGTTTACTGGTTTACGGGAGTTGTAGAACAAACTGTCCACTTGTCGAAATAACACTTTATGTAATTATAAACTTGTACAAAGAGGGACGTGAGATCCATTGCTTGCGTAGACATTATCTTCCGTTCAAAGAGATTTTTTAACCCTTATTACAAAAGTACAAAATTACATTAATTTTCCCTTTCTAGAGCAAGGAACTATATCTGATGAGTTTTTTCTCGGAAAAAATAAATAGTCGGTTTAGTAATTGATTCTAAGTCATATGTAAATGTGTAGGGAAATCATGTTTTTATGTTCCTGGTGTTGGTTTCGACATTGTTTTGTTTATATGCATATTTATGCGATATCATTAAAAGCTTCATCCACTCAAATTTACGTTGTATTCACACGTTACTCACACAGCAAACGTGCGGTGATGTACCCGAAACAGTAACCCATCTCACTCGGTCACTGCATCCACGGGTAAAGCGCGTATGTGGGTTTTAACAATTACTTACTTATAAAGTCTTATGAAATAACTAAATCGTTGAATAAAGATGCAGCTTCATATAAACATAAATACGATACAGTGTGAATTTAGTGTCTGATATGACACGGCATTGCCAAACATTATCTGGTCGTCTTCGGTTACGAGCGGAATTTCAAGCAAATATTTCTTCATCCGTTCCTTTTTTTCTTTCAGTTAGCATATTTACCAGTGTTGTCGGCTCCTCGATCATCCAGCGTGCTATGTCATCATTCCATTGATGAAACACTGGGTAATCGAGGATAATAATCACACGTGATTCCCAACAAAAGCAAATTCATGTTTCAGGTTGTCATGTAACCCCAAACATATCTGTTCTAAAAGGGCAATCTGAAAACAAGGAACAACAACACGACAAGAACCAACAAGGGAAAATTTGACAAGTGGTTCAAGGGAAGTAACTCCATTTGTTGTATTCTCCAATGACAGCCAACCACGTGTGGAGTTGAGCATTACGTGTCTAGTTTTCCAGCATGGCGGCGTTCGTAAAGGAGTTGCTGACTTGGGGTGCTTCACTTTTGTTTTTCTGCGGATTTATCAAACATGTTTTATCAAGAGGTACACACTTTTAATCTTTCATAGTTGCTGATATATCGTCAGTGATATAATCCTTCAGTGTGCTTTATCTGCCAAGATTTCTGATAAGATTGCTAATGACAAACGCTAGCACCGACATGGATAATAAATCCCTGTTCGGGGCAGGTATATGCCAATGAATAAAGGAGACATGTATTGTAGATGATTTATGTATAGGATGAACAAGAAGACATTAAATAAAGAAAATAGAATTATTTGGGTTTAATTAATTGAAAATATTAGGACGCTCGTTTTATGTCTACCTTTTGGATAAACCAGTTTATAGTCAAGTCTTACAAGGACAGTCTACAATGTTTAGCTTTAAATCTTATTTTGGAAAAATCATAACAACCCCTCTTCGGTAAATTTGTAGTTCAATTAATCATTGCATAGGCTTACCATTTGTTTTAAAATAAGTACTTAATTCGCTCGTCTTTTATTTAGATAGTCACTCTTTGTAAATACTATCTTGATCTCTGTATGTACATATGGTAGGTTTAGCAAGACAAAACTTACATGGTTTATTTTAGTTTTTGTTTGTTTGTTGTTTAACGCTGCACTCAGCAATATTCCAGCTATATGACGGCGGTCTGTAAATAATTGAGTCTGGACCAGACAATCCAGTGATTGACATCATGAGCATCGATCAACGCAATTGGGATCGATGACATGCATCAACCAAGTCAGCGAGTCTGACCACCCGATCCCAGTGTCGCCTCTTACAACAAGCATAGTCGCCTTTTACGGCATGTGTTTTGTGGATCAAAATAAATGTTATTGTGAACAAGGTTGTGATAACCAGTGCAGTCAACATCATTGTTGAAGTTGAAGGGACCTATACGTAAATAAATCATGTTAACTGAGGTTTGACTCCACCGAAAAAAATGAATAAGGAAGGAATATGCAGGGACCAAGTTCAACACAAGGTTCGACACAGCAGTTTTTAACTGTAGGTTCTATTTACTTACTCTAATTACCATATCATGATGTGGCAGTGCATCAATATTAACATTTGCTCATAAATAAGTCAATACATCAACAGTTCATCAATTATTTGCCCTACCTATATAGTACCCTTATTGCTTGTATCATTGCTCATGTTATCAACCCCTGGTTTGCACAACTTGATAATTTGAGGCGAAATGTTGCTGTTATATACTGCTTATGCAAACCAACATTTAATCATCAGTTAATCCTTGAAGTAAATGAAAAGAATGTTACTGATGTTAATGCCTTGGTGTAAAATAGAATGCTCTATAAACTATCTTGTTTCAGAGATGGACTATGAGTTTGTGACATGTGGCTCGACTATGAAGCTGCTCAACACCTACTCCAGTGTCCGCCTGCACTCACATGACGTGAAATATGGCTCGGGAAGTGGACAGCAGGTAAAGATGGTGCCCCTGTTCTCACAAGTTGTTTATTGCTATTTGAGATACATGTTTATGTACTCTTTGATTGAAAAAGTTATGATCCTAAAGCAGTTGGTATAGCAATGCAAACCAAGCTTATTATTTGGGGCAGTGTTCGAAGTAAGTGCCTGCCCATTGGCCTGTAGTTGGTAGATCTCGTGTCGGGCCCGTAGTTTCAAAGTTCTATTGGTCCCCATGGCCTGCAGTTAAGTACAATGTAATATGTCTATTTATTTGTTGCATTAAGATTTAAGTTTTTTAAATGATGGCCTCACAAGTTTCCTCGGGGCCTGCAGCTTATAAAGTCTGAGCGTTCTGATTTTAGCCTGATATTGTTTATTTTTTTTAAAAACTAGGCACAGGTAGTCAGGCCATTTGCTGCGGAAAGTTGTGTCCGTTAGTTGTGCTAGAATTTGATGATTGTTGTTTAAAATACTGACTGGGATTCTTGATTTGTCACAAGTGCCTATCTAGGACCTGCACATCTTCAGGATTTCCTCTCATATTTAACTGACTTGCTGTGATTCAACTGAAATGTTGTTCAAAACAGCATTAACCTAACTTTCTCCTTCACTATTTGACTCTTGTCTTGAATAATATATGCTGGAATTTCTAGCCTCTGAGGTGAAAATATTATGTGTCTGGTTGGAATATATCCCCCAGGGGCATTGGAGGTGCCAGTCTGAGATATATATAGGCTTCCAAAATATGTGCCTGTCACACAGAAATTGGGGGAAAAGTTACTTTGTTAGAAATTGGGATGTCTTTTAAAGTTCTTATTTTGTGGAAATCAGAGATATTTTTACATTCAGTACTCTTCCGGTAATTTTAAACTAAGCGTTTGAAGCCTCTTACTGTACACTTGTCCTGTTATTGATGGAATCTGTGTCACCTCTGCAAAGCGTTTAACATCATTTATGACTATTATCATGGTAATAAAATGAATTTTGGAAATAAAATATAATCCAATTTCCAGTGTCCAAGTGAAATTGCCTGAAAATTGCCAAAGCGGCATGAAAAATACTCATTCACACTAATGTTAATCACTGATCCTAACAATCTTTTTGTAAATTCATGAAAATACAACTTTACCTTATTAAATTTTTTAGATGGATGTATTTTTGATGAGAACTTTCCTTCCAAAAAATATACTTCTCAAGATGTTGTTGTTGTTGTACTTGATATTAAAATAATGCCATCTTAGGATTTTTGCCCAAACTATTAACCTGTCTTCTGTCTCTGCCTTTTCTGCTGTTTCATGCTGTTTGTTGTTTTGTTAGTCGGTGACTGGTGTCGACTCATCTGATGATCACAACAGCTACTGGCAGATCCGGGGCAAGACCGGAGCTACGTGTATGCGAGGGTAAGGGGAGACAATCAACTTGGTTGACATGATTTCTGGTTTGACTGTTTTAGACATGATTAATTACAGGCTCCAATGAAATGGCAGGACTTCTGCAGTGTAAAAGAAACAAACTTTCTGAGGAGCCCTTATTTTCTGTTCACAACATCACATGGTGAAAATTCATTCTTCATATGTGGTATAAATGCAGCTTGTGCCACAAGTTTTGAGTCTGCCAGCTCAAACTTTGCTCTTAGCATAACTATTTAATGACTATGTACTGTATGTAAGAAATAAACCACGAGTGTGAGTTGTACAAAGAAACACTGCAGGGAGAATAAACCATGAGGGGTGCAGTGCCAAGTGGTTTATTCTCTCTGCAGTGTTTTATTTTCGATAAACAATGACACAAGTCGTTCATTTCTTATATGAAATACAAATATTATGTACAGCCTCTTAAGGATGTTATTAAAATATACAAGCTTTAAAAATATTTACCCATATTTCAATAATGACACCCTGAATAGAATCTGACCTCGGCAATGTCGGACAAGTCCATTTTATGGAAGGGGGCAGAGTAAATTAATTTGGTATTTCCCGCATATTCTCACAATTTGCATGCTGATTATCTGTACCTTTACCCCACAATTAGATGCGATCGTTTGGCAGCTGCGTTTATCTACGCTGCCCAGCTACATCTATAGGGGAACAGCTCACTAGATATCCCTCTTCAAAATAAAATCGTCCTATTTACAATGTCATGAAATTGTGAGCGCATTTTCGAATTTCCAGAAATTCATGATAGAACAATGTTTTATCGTGAAATAAACCATGCTTTGTTCTCCATGATTTATTGCATAGCTATCTTTTATTACAATATAAAATGTATCTGCCATGTATGGACTACTATTCTGGACAAAACAGAATTTTACTTGAATCGGCCTTTGGACGAGTGGTTATGGTCGCAGACTGTAAATGGTATTTTCAAATTGATTGTGATTAAAAGTAAATGCAGTAAACAGCAACCCACATTGTCGTTTATTATCCCCCAGGCATATACTGCTGGGGGATATAGCGATCAGCCAGTCTGTCCGTCTGTCCGTCCGTAATCATTTCCTTTTCCGGGGCAGAATTCCAAAACCATTCAGTGTATTTGATCGAAACTTGGCAAATCTATCAGGCACATACTGAAGTGGTGCCTTTTGATATTTTGGGATTTTTCTAATTTTTAATTTTTTAAATTTTTATGGAATGAAGTTGGACATAGACTCAATTGGGGATGGGGTTCGTTTCCGGGGCAGTATTCGAAAACCATTCAGTGTATTTGAGCGAAACTTGGCAAAGCTATCAGGCACATACCGAAGTGGTGCCTTTTGATATTTTGGGATTTTTCTAATTTTTATTTTTTACAATTTTTATATTGAAAGAAGTTGGACCTAGACTCCATTGGGGAACGGGTTCGTTTCCGGGCCAGAATTTGAAAACCATTCAGTGGGTAAACAATTTTTGCTTCTTAAAGAACATTGAACTGTTAACTCATTACATAGAGAATTGCACATTTACTAGTGGTTACTTTACAGACAGCTGTCGGGGGGATATGTCATCTTTCTGATGACTCTTGTCTTATTTTTGCAGGAGTCCGGTGAAATGTGGCCAGACAATCCGTCTGATGCACTTATCAACAAAACGTAATTTACACAGTCATCACTTCCAGTCTCCTCTGTCTCACAACCTGGAGGTCAGTGCCTTTGGGGAGGAAGGAGAGGGCGATGAAGGTCAGTACGGGCGGGAAATTGTTTATAACATTATTTAGTTATGGCCAATCAAAACCCTCTATGACTGTCACCGTAGGGTTTACTTCTACATTATATAGATACGCTGATAGATCAGAAATACTGATCAAAGTGACCTTAGAACAAACTCATTCATGGACTCCCTTAGATGATGACAGCCCAATAGATTGGATGTTGGCCAGTTTTGCAGGAAGTGCTAGACTTTCATGCACAGAGTGATCGTAGTGCTATATGTCATAAATAATTGATATGGGTTTGATTCTTTGTTAAGAAGGGGACATTGTCTTAGCACAACCATTACTTCCAAGTACGGCGTAGTTTGTTTCATAACACTGGTAAAATATGTCAGGTTCATTCATTAATCATCACTGAGATGATTATCCCATGCCTGGTCTAGTGGATAGAGTGTCTCCCTTGGGAGGGGAAGGTTGGTGGTTCGATATCTGGCCGTGTGATACCGAAAGGTGTTAAACGATAGTCCTTTTTTGTTTATTGTTTAGCACCACACTCAGAAATATTCCAGGTAAATGATGGCGGTCTGTAAATAATGAAGCCTGGACCAGACAATCCAGTGATTAATATCATGAGCATTGATCCGTGCAATTGGGATACGATGACATGCATCAACCAAGTCAGCAAGCCTAACCACCAGATCCATTCTTTTTCCCTCTTACGACAAGCGTGGGTTTCTGAAGATACTTGTTGTTTTTCTGGGTGCTGCTTTGTATTAAGGGGATTTAAAAAGATTGGTCAGATAGGAGTCAGTATATTGTCCCTGAGTGGGGTATCCATGTTAAACTGTTCAACATGCCAGGAGATGGTTGTGAAGTTCCCAAGTGGCAGAAAACTAACGCCTTCACTCCTTTGTTTATTATTAAGCCTTCTTTGTCTTGCTATTGATATGTTGTTGGGCATGCTGCTGCAGGTGACAACTGGGTGATTGTGTGCAGCACCAAGCACTGGAGCAGGAGAGACAAAATCAGGATCAAGAATGTCGTCACAGAGCAGTGAGTACTCAAGCCATTCCCCCAGGGGAGTTTGAGCAGACCCCCAACACCCATGCTGGTCATAACAGCCCACTGAATTACAGAATGGCTGGTTACAATGTCTGACCTTGCAAATTGTTGGCCGTCATGCCCACACTCAATGGATTGTTGTTCATACTATCCACCACTGCTTTGCTTCAGCCTGACTGGGGCGGTCGGGTAGCCTAGTGGTTAAAGCGTTCGCTCGTCACGCCAAAGACCCGGGTTCGATTCCCGACATGGGTACAATGTGTGAAGCTCATTTCTGGTGTCCCCCGCCGTGATATTGCTGGAATATTACTAAAAGCGGCATAAAACCATACTCACTCACTCACTTGAGCCTGACTAACTATGGTGAAAAACAAAATGATTATTCTTGATAGGGATATTCCAGTTATTCTATAATACACAAACTGATCACTTGTATTAAATATGTTTGTAAATATTATGAAATAACACTGTATCTGCATGACTTATCATGCTTATACTTGCATCAGTTTTACTTGTTAAACTGCATGTCCAGAATGGTCAATGAATTCCTGGCTCTGAATAAACTACAACAATGGCATGACGCCATCATGATAATGGTGTTAGCCTCAGTCAACTCAGGAGCATATATGCCATGAATCATGTGATCCCAGCCTTTTCACTGATAACTAACAGACTGACAGCCTCAACATAAATAACATATTCAGTCATTCTTTCATGTTACAAATCAAACAGGCTCACATTAAGTCTCTGAAATGAAATATTTTGTAGAGAGTTATATGAGATAAATTGTCTTTGATATATAAGGTTGAAGGAGCCCAGAGAATCTCTTCATTTTCTGGAAACTGAGGAAATCTATACTTGCCAAAGTCTTGTAGACCTGCTGGGTAATTTCAGATGTGATTGTTTCAAGATCTCTATGAGAGACTACAAACCATACTCTATTGTTTGAACTTCACTACTGCCCTCCCTTAAGTGTTGTGTTTTGTATTCCAGTTACTTACATGTGAGCGGTGACAGCTATGGCCGTCCGATCCACGGACAGCGCGAGGTCAGCGGCTACCCCACACCATCCGAGATGAACTACTGGATAGTCAATGAGGGCATCTTTATCAAGCCGGCCAATGATCCCAACACAGGGAAACTCATGCATGATCATGATGAGCTTTAATACAACACCATATTAGGACAAAACTTTGTACATTACCATATAACTATATTTGTTTATCTACAAATGTGTTGATGAATTAGACTCATATGTTTGTTGTTTTTTATATTTTGTAACCGTCTACAGAAAGTACCGAAAGTTTCTTGTTGAACGAATACTTTGAATTGAGCCACAAAACGTTCTGTCTTGTTTCCCATTGTTGTGGATTACCTCCCTTTGATGGACATGATTGGCTTGTTTCTGTCCTGCAGTGAATGTGTTGTCTGGATTTGATTTATCAATATTTGTATTTATTTTTGAAACAAATATAATAAGATCCACACTGAGTGATGTTTCTTGCACTTTAAAAAAAATAAGGTGTTATGAGATGCAGGGTTAGAAATTAATTTTTATTTTCACAAGTCCACAAGAATCATCTACAAAGTGGTTGTCCAAAAGGAAATGTCATCAGTCCATTCTGAAGTGGATTATTCTCAGACTGGCAGATTTATGTCAGTTTTGAACAGTGGGTTAGTTAAATTTCATATGTGAATTTATTTTGAGGTTTAGAAAGTTTGTATTCATATCTTAATCTAGTTCCATCAATCCTGCTGTTTGTGACACCGGAACTCTGACCTGTGGATATATAGAGGTAAAGGGCAGATATATGTACATTGGACGAGTATACCAAGGTTACATTAACAGGGCATTTTACTGAAAGATTGGTAAGAATGCAGTCAAAGTGTTGTCAGAGGTGCAGTTGCTTTTTTGATAGCACATGTTTTTATAGAGATATAATTTGTCTACATTTAATTCTGTGATTGAGTATATTTGTTTATTTTGTGGGATAGCTGAGTGTTTCCCTGTGTTCATCAAGGACAGGTTTGGGGTGTCATACCCTACAATGGTTTCTGCTCAATCTGTGTCCCTGCCTTGTTACAGTACTACAGTACTGTGTTAGCAGCTTCTCTTATTGAAGGTAGGCCTGTAATAATTCAGTTTGTCATGATACAAATCATACAATATACATGTGTATCTTGATATATGTGTCTGCCCAGAGAGGGGAAGATCTGTGGTCTGATCTCTAGTTGTGTCATACTGAAAGAAGTTAAAAGATGGTACTTATTGTTACCCTGCCAATCTTTTGGCAAAAAGGGGATGAAACTAGGACTGGTTGGCGCGGATTCAGTATACAGTGTCCGAGTGGGATATCAATGTTAACTGTGGCATAGTTTCTCAGTGGGCTGGAACTATTAAACCGGCATTAGTCCGGACTAGTACAAGCAGCCATATATTTGACCTTACATTAATATATAACTTAGTTTTAAGGTCGTGATACATATTCATCTCAGTATAAGGTAGAGATACGATATATGTTTAAAGGTCGCAATGCAATACATGCCTTATTTATTAGTGAATATTTTGATAATATACAGTTGAGTCTAATTCATTAATACTTAATCTATTAACAAACAAAATGTCAGAGGGCGTTGTTCCATCATCATCAGATTCATTTGTTTTGTGTCCATGAGTATCTTTATACTTTGTTTCTTTGAAAAGTGATTGTCTCAAAAGTCAATAGTACCACCTTGAGAGGATGTAATCTTTGTATCTATGCTATTATTTAAAAAAAGTGGGTATACAACTTTTGACTGGGGTGTTATGACTGAGGTGTATACATTAAGACCAGGGCCCACTTGCACAAAGCGATCTTAGCGCTAAGATGATCGTAACTCCCATACTTTAACATAAGCTTACAATAGTCCTAGCACTAAGATTGCTTTGTGCAAGTGAGCCCTGTTCAGTATCTAATTTTACTCCCAGCTATAGTGGAACATACCGGGGTAAGTAGGATTTCAGAATTGGTAATGTTAATACATAGATGCCATCCATGGTATATTTTGAAACCTATCAAGCGAAAGGGCTGATATTTCAGAAGCTTCTTTATGTACTTTGCTAGTAAATGTCACTAGTGACATTGATTTTAAAGTATACTTTTCCAATCGTATGTTTTCAAGTTGATAATCCAGTTCACAGCAAAATTAGAATATTTCATCTTTGGCAAAATATTGGTTGGAATTAGCAAGTCACAGATGCAGCTCATACAGGAGTCTAGTTATCTGTTTTATTTCATTAGGTGGTTAACAAAACTGACCAAACTGAATTAAATTAGAGAGGCCTTATTTTGTTCAGCTATCTCTGTGTCGTCCCAGAAAGCTAGGGCACTACAACTGAAACGTGAAACTCAGTCTTGCCAAGTGTTGTTTTCATCCAGTTTTAAATGTATGTTTATTTGGATGTTGATTTCTGTTCTTTTCAACTACCTATATTGAATTTTGGGGCGAAAACATTGTAAACTAACCAACAAAAAGTAAAAGGCTCTTGAAGGTTCTTGGTGATAACAAATATATATTTCTTGTTTTGTCTGCAATGCAAAACTTGCACTGTGCAACATAAATTATTTTGAAATTTCACCTCAACAGATTTGGCATTTCAGATGCCCAACACAAATTATAGATTTTAGTACATACATGTATACAAAAGGATGATCACTCAGTCAGTATCTGTCAATGTCATCAATCATGAGAATTCCTTAACTGTATTAAAAAGACAAAGTGATATACTAGTATGTATGAATTTGGGTGACAGATTTTCAGTTGTTAGCGGATTTTCCGCTGACTTTGTGAACAGGTCAAGCTTGGGTGAATGCTGTGTGACACTGCATGGTTGCCATGGATTTGTGGTGCATGTGCTGGATGTGAATGTTAGGATTGTTTGGAGGAAACCTTCCCTGTATCATCTGATGTTGGTGCTTCTTAACCTCTTTTGTTTTCTGGTGTATTTATTTCAAGGTTACAACTGTAAATATATCTATGTAGTGATCATGGTGATGATTGTTCTTTTCAACTAATAATGTGTTGGTTGAATGTATTTGTGAGTAACAGAATTGGGCAGAGGGTAGAAGTGGTACTACAATCGAAGTGTTTTTCTGTATAAATCTATTTATCCTTGTTCGGGGCTGATACATCACATGACACTGCCCTACTTTTGAATATTGTGTTTGAACTCATTAATTGTTAAAGTTGTGAGGAATCTTTTCAGAAGGTCTGTTTTAAGAAAGAATGAAGATTTGAATGAAACGGAAACATGATACTTCTATTCACTGAACATGGGAATTCATCGCCAATAAAGGCCCCCACCAGACTGTGCATGGGTACTCAAGCTTCATCATTATAAGCAAGATAATCCTTTTTGGGGGGAAAAAACATGAAAAACTTCAGATCCTGGTTAGCAACCCTTTCCATCTTAAATCTACTTTAGAAAAGAGGTCCTCTGCCTGAAAATCCTTTTCAACTACCGGTAATTGCCTCTGGATCATTTGTGCAGTGGCCTGTATATTCAAATTTAGGTAGACTGATGATCATTCATTAATTTAACTCCATCATGAGTGAAGCTGTATCTTGATGTGCAGAGTTGCATCCCTTGGCTGCCAGGATCTGCTGGTCATGAGGCAGACTTCAAGAATCTGCCATGTTGTGATCCCTGGTCTGTCAGTTTGGGGGTTTCTTAGATTGCCGGAGCGTTACACCCTGTGTCATCTTGAGCTTCCTTCACACATGCCTGGTATTACAACCATCGTTCAAACCCAACTTAAGATGTATACCTCAAGAAGTGAATCAAACTGAATCCTGGCTTCATTCATTTTATTGTCCCTCAGATCACCTGTTTTACCATGTTATGTGTTGATAGGGATTTAGTCTATTTTGTTGTCATTTACATTTTCTGTTGTTGAGAATGTTTGCTATTGTACATACATGTGTACATGACGAAGATAAGCCTTGTTCAGGATATGTTGCTGATGTTGTAACAACATTCAGAGGTGTGCAAGAGTGAGTGAAATAAAGTGTAATTTAAAGTTTCTTGTAATGTCATTCATTCCATGTGGAGGGTACTCTGTACCTTACCAAAAGCGGTCCAGCAACCCGTGGTTTAGAGGTGCTTTGATTCAAGTACCGAACAAGCCAAGACCTGGGTGGCCTAGTGGATAGAATGTCTGCCTGGAGAGGGGAAGTCAGTAGTTTGATCCTGACAGTGGCATACCAAAAGATGTTAAAAGAAGGTACATATTGTTACCCTGCCTTTTGCTCGGTATTAAGAGGATAAGTGCAGTGATCTTGAAGGCAATGTTAAACCACATGTCACCTCACCTGCAACAAACCTTGAATATGTTGGTTACTATGGTCATGGGTGGATGAGCCTCTCTACAGACTTGCTAAAACAATCACAAATTTGTTCAAGAGGTTAAAACAGTATATAAAGACTCCCTGATACTGTTCAAAGCAGTGTAAAACCAGAATCCCTCACTCCCACATTAACTGACAGGCCATATAACTGAAAGGCTGTTTCAAGCAGCCTTAAACCCATCTCAAATATTGGAGATTTAATATTAGACACTGGAGGGCGTTCTTCATCCTCGGCTTTTATTCGCAAAGGTAATAATGGGGAGAAATCTGTGTATAAAAAGTACCCGACGTTTCATCGACTAGATGTTTGTTTAATCAAGGAAATATGGTAATCACGATTACTCTGCAGATTAACTTGATACCCCTTATATTAAAAACAGGAGGTATATATAACAACAAAAATAAGCAAACTATCAGTTCCACACTTGTGTTAATTGGTTTGATAAAAATTGTAAATGCCATAACCTGCGACACTTTGGCTTTCATTCCATGTTGAGCTGTCATGCAAAGTTTGTTCAACTCAACCATTTTGTATATTGTCAAATGTACGTTAATCCTTTGTTTATTCAATTTGGATGTAGCCAGTTCCTGACTTCTTGTCCAAAGCATAGATAATCTATTAGTATCATTCTAGCGAATAGTGAGAATTTCGACATTTTGAATTAATTGCAGGGTTGGCTGTGTTTCAGGTGGTAAGCTTGGGCTTTCTTCCGTCTGACACAAACATATACAACACAAAGGGCTAGATATTATTTGAACAAAGTTTTATTCACAAAACAGAACATGAACTGCAACAACAAATACTTTTTTTTTCTGAAATAACACCATGAAAATTTCCACATTAACTTCTATGATTTTAGTAGAATTAGATTTTTTTTTACATATTGTAATTGTATATCATAAAAAAGTATAACGTGCAAACTAAAATCAAGTAGATATTTTTGAGAGATTGGTCTCCATTTAAACTTTCGCATCTTCTTCACTGCATAATGTTCATCATAAAATTGACAAATGTAAGCTTATGTAAGTTTCCCCATGCCCAGTCTTGAAGGAAAGTAGTGTTCCATCAGGTAGTATCCTATTTATATTCTTGTATCCAGCACATCCAGGTGGCAGTACAAAATTTCCATTCATGCAGATGTCACTATCACAACAAGGCGTGTAATACCATCAACGGGTGTCCAAGTCCAGCAAAGGAACAACTGCACCTCCAGGTGATCACCAGCCAGCATAAACTCCAATCCTGTCACTGACACTGTCACTATCACAGAAGTGTTTTGGGTGCCCGATCAGTCAGCAGCATCTCTTGCCCTTTCCTCAGCCACTCAGAGGGACAAATGCAGCCCTAGGTGATGGCATCCCAAATGCTGGGGGAGGGTACTGCCAGCGAGATTATCCCCCTTGCGACATCGACTCGACCTTGAACCCTGTCACCGAGTACTGAGTGGGTCGTGTGGCCATACCACCGTAATAGGCCACCACGTGACTCAGGGAAGGGAACCTCAGAAGACTCGCCTTCCCATCAACGTCAGTGGCGCCCAAAACATCCTTGGCATGGCTGTCCACAACCACCCAGCCACCAGCAGGGTTCTGCAGCAAGGCCGAGCTTCTGCCGTTAAAGGTGATAACTGCTCCCTGGCAGTCCTGGGCATTGAACACCCTCCCCACCGCATCCCCGAAATCCCTGAGGGGCTGACCTGGCATCCATTCCCAGGTCAGCTGGCTCCTTAGGGAGTTCGAGTCCATGTTGCCAGGGTACAGTAGTCCCTGCATTTCGCTTACTCGGCTGCACTGGACAGGCCATCTCGACTGGGAGTCTTCAGGCTCCTCCAACATCTCATCTGCTGCCAGATGTTTGCTGATAGGAGCCTTACTTCCCATCGTGCCGAGCATGGTGTCATGAAGACGGTCCCCTATGACGAGGACACTGTCCAGTGTGGCTGGAGTCCAGAGACCCACAGGGACAACCGAACTGGCAACAATGGCGGTAAATGCCATCGAGGTGCATTGTGTGCCAGCATGCCTTGATCTGAAAGATACAGCACAATTAAGAACCTATTGAAACTTATTTAAAGTAACTTGAGATGAATCATGTTTAACATATAACAGTATGTCTACAATACTATATACAATGATGACATTAAATATATATATGTCTTGAAACAGAATCTACTGGCCGTAACAATAGTGATGAAAGTTGTATGTATGGATCACTGATGACTGATGACAACTATGTTTCTGTTAGAAATGATGGTATTTCTTATAAGTTACAATGATTTAGCTATAACAGTCGACTTACGGGCTCCACACTTCTGGAATATGACCTTGGTGGAAGTGTCCGTGGATAGAGTATCTGCATTCAGGCAGACTGGACACTTCCACCGTGTCCTTGACCTCTGTAGCTGACTGGCTAGACGTGGGTGGGAGTTCACTACAGGTTTGGGCTGCGTGTGCAGACCTTGATGGGAGAAGAGGGTGTTGCCCGGCCGGGGCACCACACCCACACACTCCAGCTCGAGGGCCTATGTTGTAATCCCCTGGGGTGGGGGTAAGGAAGCCCTTTAAGTCCAGAGTAGGCTTCTGTGACCTTTAATATAAAGAGAAAAAACATTTAGGTCCAAAGCAAGAACTTAAACTGAAGGAACGGCTTCAGACACTGACAAAAACGCCAGAACTATTCTTGTTGAAACTACAACATGTCAGGTATGGAGAATGGCCTACGATTTTTGTCTTCTGTCTGTATTCTAACTGCTACCCAAAATATAAAAAAAGAATTTTACAGTTTACTCAAACTCGAAAATAAATATGCTGAGTAACATGGCAAATAAGACAATGAAGGCACGAATAGTTAGCCAGTTTCATACAGAAGTATAATCATACACACAATAATTAACCTCTTACCCATTGAAAGAGCTTGATGCAAGTGCTTTTCTCTGTGTCTTCTTGTAATGGTTAACCTCGTCATCCTTCAAATCAATCAGCTTAACGTCAGTTACGACATAGAAAAATACATAAATTTTTACTGTCTGTGTAATGTGTAACGTGTACCCCCACTTCTAATGTGCTGTTGATTGTTTGATTAAAAAAAACCTGGGGTCAGTCAGTAAGAGAGATTATCACAGATTGCTATTGGTACATTAATTATTTACAAGTTATTAAGCCTAGCCCATATCATAAAAGAAAGACCGCCCCAGTGATCGGCGCGCCAACGTGTACACGACCTTATTTGCGCAACAAAACACTGAAAAAACACTGACACACACTATTACTTACAGCTACTCGAGATGTACGCCAGAATCTCCGGGCCTGTCGAGAACACCACTTCCTGAGTCTCCGGAAGTACGACTGGGGAATGTGGATCTTACACGCCATTTAGGCCAGAAACAGATTTACCAGTGTCAGAGCTGCTGCATAATCGAACGTCCCGCTTGGCAACTCAAGGCAACAATCGCGTGACGTCATGAGGAACAGCCAATCAGTGTCCATCACCAAGGGCTGTTCATACTCCATACAGCGACAATAGAGTAACTAACGGTGCAAGGAATTCTTATCAAAGATCTAACCATTTTACTGAACGATCGATGAGACATTACACATACTTCCTTACAAAGAGTATTTTATCTCTCACGTATTGAATATTCTATGTCAATTACAATTACACAACTGCCATCTATTCAAACTACCACTGAGAGTAGATTAGAAAATAAACCCAAGTATATTCTTGTAAAGTTGCAGTTGTAAAGTACATATCTACGGTTATAACGAACTCAAATGGACCATTAATTTTAGTTCGTTATAACCGTAGTTCGTTAATAGCATATATACAACATCTATACAGCAAGTGGCAGGGACCAAAAATTAAGTTCGTAATAACCGTCAGTTCGTTATAAGCGTGTTCGTTATAAACGTATTTTACTGTATAATGTGTGAGTGAGTTGGGTCAGCCGCTTCTCTTTTCTCATTGACTGTACCTGCTATGTCCTACTCACTGTACTGGGGAACAGGAGCTTCATCCAAACTAGGATGAAGATATATTGTCCCGCTCAAGCAAAGTATAGGAACACATAACTGATGAACCCCCCAAATTTTATTGGAAGGTTATTCGAAGTAGGTAAATAACATTACCGTATAGTTTATTTTTCCACGCATTTTAAAGCCATTGTGATGACGTCACGGTATTGATCTTGCAGTTGATTCTGAACCAGGAATTCACTGGCCATTCTGAATGAGTATTTTCAAGTAAAACTGCCGCAACGAAAGTTCATTATGCAAATATTTGGAGAAATTATGTATTAACCATTACATGATCAAGTCAGAAAATCACTCGACACGGTTGATAGAATAATTCTACTCCCGGAATCAACCGATTCTCATGATTTCTACATTACGTAATTTTTTTTTTCCGTCTTTAAGCTGATACAGCAACCGTTAAACTAGGAATATATATCATAATAACCAAGTCAAGATCTTCTGCAATCGAGCACATGCACATGTGGAAAGTGTCTCGATTCACATCGTGACCCATTTTAGCTTATATGTTAGTGGCATGCGACACTTCATATACCTGGAAGTGTAACGGAGTTAATGGCGAAATTAAGATAAAAACATAAAACCATTAATACCTCTTTATATCAATAACACCTCGGCCTTAATTAAACACACACCTGTGTGTCAATAGGTGTAATATTTGTTAGCATTTGGTGTTTGTGCGTGTACACAGTGTTACAAAACTCATGTATTATATTTTTCAATTGTATGTTTTTTTGTTGTATTTTGTATTTTTTAAATTATTTTAGACAATTTAAGAAATAATTTTCAATTTATTAATGATATAATAAGCTAGACTTTGCTCCAGTCTAATATCGTGCACGAACAGCTCCAGTCGAGTTTAGTTGGTCAGGCTCGACATAAAGGTCTTTTTTTACTGTACACAAATAGGCAGGGAGTGCAATAGTGCATTGTGGTGCCATATATATAGGCCTATGCATGTTATATCCGATCCGATCCGATTATAAATCAGACCTTGGGGGTCTGAGGCTGAATTCATCTTGACATTATCACATGGTTGCAATATTGCTGACTGTGGTGTAAAACAACATTCACTCACTCGATCACTCGTCCTCCTCAGTGCATGTCATTAAAGTTAATTGTCTCTCGTTTTTTTAAAAATCCCTGCTTTTACATTAAATGCACACGGTGTTTTGTACAACAGGGACCTATTTCCTATGTATATCACAAATAAAACGAGCTAGACACTAAACCAGCGTTATCTGCGCGTGGCTCTATCACGTTCTTGGAGTGGGTATTCATCACGGAAATGGCGTCTTAATCGGATCTCTATTGTTTCCTTGTCTGCTCTAAGACTCACGTCACCGGCTTCACGTGATTGCCCACCTTGAAACTACAGAAAAATTATGACAGATAAAAATTGAATTAAAACCAGATAATAATATGTGACTTTATTTTCCGAAATTGGATTTTGGCGTTTCATGTCCGCAAAGAGTTTTCCTGCGAATATGATAAATGCCACCGCGAAGTGAATTATACAGTTTAACATAGACCTGCTAGATTCTACGACAAACGAAGTTGTCACGACTTAACAAGCTGCAAAAACACACACATTAGGGACAACCTCGAAAGTATCTTTGACAAGCGTCACGGCCGTTTTATCGACGTTACGTCACACATTCATATCAAGGGAAGTAATTCTAATGTCTCATTGAGTGTATGAGTCGGAATTATGGTACGAATATTTAATGGTGCACTTACGGCTCTGTCTGAACGTCCCACTACACGGTGACCCGCATTCTCTCCATTTAACATTTACACTGAACCCTTGGTCACATTACGTCCTATTTGCAACACCTCGATATCTTTACATAGACACAGTGAGTTTCTTCTAACGTTTGTTCGTTGTGGAAATTTTGATGAAAGTCGTGATCCCAGCTTGGCACGGTTGGTACTTGGCGATTGTTGAGGGTAGGTACCAAACTATCGAGGACTTGCCTACAGTTTAAGCAATATGACTACTTTATATGTATAGTGAAAGGGTTCACGGGTTCGCGTATTTGTACAAAGCGGTTGGGTGGTCTGCGTTTGTCTCTCATTCTTTCTGCCCCCAAATTCAAGTTTGTGGTAGTATTTTTTATAGTGGTGGAAAAACAATGAAACTCCTTTAATCCGGTCGGTACCGTGCCCAGTGAGTGAGTATGGGTTTACGCCGCTTTTAGCCACTAGGCTGCAGAGTGAGTGAGTTAGTGACTCAGTGAGTATTATAAATATACCAAATGAATCAAGGATCTGACATTGCATATTATCCGGTTTCCACCCCGCCTGTGCCAAGAAAGTCATTTACTACATCACAAGTGTCTGGAGTGTGTGAGTGAATGAGTTGTTAGTGCACCAACAAGCATTTCACGAAGTGCCCATCAAATCTCTATACACTTCTCTCCCCGCTCTATGTTACTGTCGGTGGACACAGCTCGCAGAACCGTTACAGATGACGGAGAGGGACGACTGACCCGCCTAACTACGTGAGATCACCATCAGCAAACGTCGTCAATGCTGCAGCAAACATACCAGGGCATCGTGACATTCTCCGAGTTTAATATACTGTGTCCCTAGGTGGACTAACAAGTGAAGGAGGTGGTCTTAGCTTGAAGGGTAAAGATTTATACCATCCTTCAGGTTAAAAGGTTGAATAGTGTACAAGTCGACAAACTCCGAAGCTATGACGGTACCTACGGCCTAGACGTCTAACATACAACATATACTATATGTACAGTGTATGTATGCATATATCAGCAGTCTTTACTTGTATTTCATTTAATTTTCTAATTTGAGTAAGTCATGATCATGACCTGTGGCGCTTTGCATCTCGACTCATTGACATCATTGAATGGTTACGTTCGACGTCATAGTCGAAGGCGAACAATTATTATTTCCGACAACCTTTCTTGAACTTCTATTTATTGCACAAAACAACAGTTTAAAACCAATGTCTACGAAGTTTTTAGCTTTTGACACATCTGCTAAAGGCGTGGAAAGGTCTTGATCTAGTAAACCACTTTATAAGGGGCTGAATTTAAGAGTTTAATCACAATGCTTTGTTTAGGGCCTGAACACACCTATTTCGTCGTTGTAACACAACGATAGGTCTAGCGTTAAACAGCGACAACACGAGGAAAACTGCTAGTGTGTGAGAGTGGATTGTCGACCTCCCAAACTCCATTGTCACTATATTGCCGGAAGCCTGATTTGTGTGACGAACATTCACTTGTGTTCGCAAAGCTACAATGAGTGATTGACACTTGGATGCAATCAGTTGAATTGTTTTCCAAAGCGGGTTAGACATGTACAAAATAGCACTGGACCATTAATTGGTTTTGTTTGGCAGGGTTAATATTAAAGCGTTCGTGGATTGATGTGGCAGTTCTACGTATGCAGCAATGTTCTTTTGTACACATCAGAGCTGTGGTTTAGGACATTTTTCAATGCTTCTCTGAGGTGTCGAAACACGGTTCGCAAAACCATTGGTATATTTTCAGGGCGACGCAGAACTTCACATGTACTGACTTGGAAAAAGTTAGGCCTTGATCGTAAGTGGTGGGAGTGGTCCAATGGTTCATGCTTTGGATTGACACGAACTAGAGATGGAAGCACAGTTTAAGACCCATTCATAGTAGCCCCGTTCATTAGTTAATAGGGGCGGTCGGGTAGCCTAGTGGTTAAAGCGTTCGCTCGTCACGCCGAAGACCCGGGTTCGATTCCAGACATGGGTACAATGTGTGAAGCCCATTTCTGGTGTCCCCCGCCGTGATATTGCTGGAATATTGCTTAAAGCGGCATAAAACCATACTCACTAACTCACATTATTAAATAAGCGTATTGAAAACTGGGGCACGTGTGGCACAGTGGTTTAAGGCGACACAAAACACGGTGTGTAGCATTGTGTCTTTTAGCTATCAGGGTCCCCATGGGAATTCAGGGTTAGAATAGGCCCCAACCTATGCTGGTCGTAAGGGCCGACCAAATGGATCGGGTGGTCATGCTCGTCCCGACATGCGTTACACACCCCTATGCCCTTTTACCCCCACCCCAAACACATGTATACCTTTCAACTATATAGACCAGTGTACTGCATAAGAGAAGTCTACTGCAGCAGTGGTCTGACATGACAACAATCCATGCCTTCGAGGTACGAAGCCAGTCTGACCATCCAATACATTATAGCGCCCCTCACCACAAGCATTGGTTCCTGTTGACCTATTCTAATCCGGCTTAAATGCAAGCCACTCTTATTTCCTAATGTTAAACTTATGCCATAACTGACTGGATTGACAGTGGCGGATCCAGGAGGGTCGGGTGAGGGTAAGGGGTCCGCTGCAAAACCATTACCTAACATGATAAAATGATAATTTGGTTGTTAAAGTAAAATTGATAATGGATTTCATGTCGCGTTTGTGACGCAAGTGGACTCCTCACCCAGTTAAAGTATGGGACTTACGATCACCTTAGCGCTAAGATCGCTTTGAGGAACGGGGCACAGGATCCGTCCCTGATTGACGTCAAACAATGCAAGTTACATGGGCACCATTAGGACGCACTGACCCCGGTAATTTACAATTATGTCGTGAGCGTTCCTGAAAGGATGCGATGTCCGCCTCAAATACCAATAAAAGTTGACGAAACTGGTAAACTCAGCCTTAATTCTGGCGCAGCTTCACATGGTGTCGAGAAGGGTGGGAGGGTCCGGCGGTCGTTGACTAATTGACTGACTGTGGCGCAGTGTCAACTTCTCCGCGGCAACTTCGCCCGGGTATATTGGTTGACAAGCACTTTAAACATGACCGCTCGGTTTGGATGTCATAATTCGTGTTGACTTGACACCCGATGTAAACCAAACCTCGTGTTTTGCCGGGTGTCGTGAACACATCTGCTTTTTCTCTAGGCAGTTTTTGTCGACGCCTAACTTGAATACTCCAAACCGTGGACAAGAGACTTGACAAATCGTTAGTGAGTCATCGAACATTGTTCTACCCTGCGGTGTTTCTGCTGTATCCCAGCAGTCAATCAGTCTGGTGCAATCAAACCGGAAGTTGGTGGTAGGAGGAATGTTGCTCACCACCGTGGTTTGTTTGTTTGTTTGTTTGTTTGTTGTTTAATGCCGCACTCGGCAATATTCCAGCTTTATGACGGAGGTCTGTAAATAATCGAGTCTGGACCAGACAATCCAGTGATATATATTATGAGTATCAATCCACGCAATTGGGAAGATGACATGCATCAACCAAGTCAGCGAGCCTGACCACCCAATCCCGTTAGTCACCTCTTACGACAAGCATAGTCTTTTACGGCAAATATGGGTTGCTGAAGATCTAATCTACCCCGGATCTTCACGGGTCTCCCCACCGTGGTACGATCATAAACAGTGTTGAGACACACATCCTAACCTACTATGCAGAATACAATGTAAATGTAGATTAGCATTTATAGTCAGATTTAAATTCTAGTTTTGAAGGATTATTTCGGCATTATTAGTATTACTTGTTTACTTGCTTTGTTCGGATGAAAACATGGCGAATAGCTGCGAAAGGCTCTCTCACATACTCACTCACTCGCTCGGCCGCCCGCTCACCAATACACCCACCCACACCAAAACATATACCCACACACTCACTCACCCAACCACTCTGTAGCTAGTTTAATCAGTCAAGAGTGGCCGATTTGATATACGATCTTTATTCTTGCATTTGGTACCCGGGACAACAACTGAATCCTCTACGGGTCATTATTGGTGAGTGAGTTGGGTTTAACGCCGCTTTTCACAGTATTCCAGTTATATCACTGCGTGTCAGCCCAATGTGGGAGGAAAATCCGAAGTGATGCAGGTCTCAGACGTTTATCAGTTTTGGTGAAACCCATGGGCACAGGTATGGTGCTGACAAACCTAGAAACACAGTCGGGGCTAACCGGGACTCGAACCAACGACCACAGGTTTCTGGCGTGTCCAAAGGTCGCAACTCTGCATAGCGAATCGCGGCGCCTCAGGCGACTGGGCCACCCGTGCCCCCGGGTCATTATTAGTGAGTGAGTTGGGTTTAACGCCGCTTTTTACAGTATCCCAGTTATATCCAATTCACTCACTCACTTATAATGGCTCGGGGAGGAAAGCCCGAAGTGATGCAGGTCTCAGACGTTTACCACTTCAGTGAAACCCACGAGCACGGGTATGATGCTGACAACCCTAGAAACATAATCGGGGTGAACCGGGATTCGAACTCACAATCATAGGTTCCTGGCGTGCCCAAGGGACGCAACTCTACACAGCGAATCGCGGCGCCTTAGACGACTGGGCCACCCCGGGTCATTATCAAATGATGTTACTGTTTATGAACCTTTAAAAGTAACATGAGTTTTAGTTTTGACGATTCAAATGAAAGAATAAGTACTAATGTTAAGATCTCATGAGAGCGATCAATACTGTATATACCACTGGCGTCTAGATTTTATCCCAAAGGGAGGTAACTGATTGTAACTGTAAAGCAACTGGTCATTCAAACTCCATGATCTATTTTCTGACCAAAGATAAACAGTTCACAGGCGTTATTCCGTCAAATACTACTTCGTATACCTGTGATGCGCAAAAATGGCTTGTCCCCTTCAATCCCCCACACGGTGTCTGTCATCTTGCATCTGATTGGCTGAGACAGGGTCGAGAGGGCGTGACGTTCCAGAGTACTTAATAGGCTTAAATAGCTCGACAAGCAGAATGAAGAGTATCGCAGTTCCCGGATACCTTTAACGACGGAGTTTACTGGAGTGGGTTTTGTTGTTTAAGACCAAGTGCTACAAGGTAAGAATACACGCTTTAACGTATTTTTGTTATTTTTACATACTTGGATTATTTTTATTCAACGGTACCAAACAAAATCTTGTGAAATGAAAATATCACAAGATTATTATTTTTATCATTGCTTATAGCAAAATTGGTATATAAATGCAAGCCATTTGGCTACAAGGCACATCGCCATGTAAATATGAAACCGATGCAGCTATCGTAGGACAAAACATGTACCTTGGTATAAATGATATATTTCAAATAAACTCAGATATTTATTATTTTCAATCAAATGGGAAAGTAGCCACTGTAATATCATTATTGCTCGGGGGCGGTGGGGCAGCCTAGTAGTTAACGCTTTCGCTCGACACGCCGAAGACCCTCGTTCGATTCCCCACCTGGGTACAATGTGTGAAGCCCATTTCTGGTATCCCCCGCCGTGATATTGCTCGAAAATTGGTAAAAGCGGCTTTAAACCATACTCATACATTATTGCTAACACAAGCCTCGCGTTGAAATGTCCAACTACCTCTGAATAATGTACGTTAATGTAACAAAGGTTACACAAACCAACTGGCCCCGTGTCCCCGAAACCCGTTGATGAAAGTTGCAGAAAGAAAATGTTTAGACCAAATGTCAACTTAAATTTGTAGAATTCTGAGAGTGAATCACTGGGTTAACCCGTATACTTATATACGTAAACACTTTAACCTTTTAAACAAGTTTTCTTACGCCGTGCAGTGTTTGTTACAAAAACGTGTTACGCACCGTTGTTACATTAGTATAAGTCAAGCCCAATATAATTAGTTGTTGTACAGATACAACCCCTCCTCCTGTAACTATTAGCTGTAAATAACTGTTTTCAGTTACCATTTATCTGTATTTACCTTAATATGGAGTTTTTGGCTATGTTTGTTTTCTCCTACTCGCAACGATTTGACTGAAACTATATAGTCGGGGTACGGGGGATGTGGCATTTATGTTCAACGCTTTCCCAAAATGCCAGTAACCATGTTTGTTGTATGAAATGTGGCATTAAGAGGCGACCAACGGTGGTCAGGCCCGCTGACTTGGTTGATGACTTAGGGCAACTGCTCATGACATCAATCACTGGATTGTCCGGTCCAGACTCAATTATTTACAGACCGCCGTCATATAGCTGGAATATTGCTGAGTGCGGTGTTAAACAACAAACAAACAAATCGTTTGCTGGAAATGCTGTTTTCATGCTTGTTGTCCTGAGAGTGTTGATGAAATATCATGTCTACCTTTACACACCATTCTCTCGACTCTGTACACTTTCATTTATAAACTAACACTGTATTAACGGGGGAATGTAATTATTATGATAATTATACAGCATTGTCTCATTCTCGGTTTTTTTCTATACGTTTGTTTCAGGTTCCACCATGAGGACATACATATTGGTGCTCCTGGCCTTGGCGTGTCTCGCGCTGCACGTGACAGGTAACCATGGCGACCAACACGTTCCTCACGTTCGACTGTCGTCTGGACACGCACCTCGGAAACACTCCAGCCCTAAACCTCCTTCTCACCGATAATTAGGTCAAAACAGATCGCAATGTCAAAGGCTAATATTTCGTGAACATGAACCGTAAATTACAGAGACAAATAGAACGTACTAGATCACAACAAAGTATAAAAAGAGTTTGTTGAATTAGTTAATAAAAGCAACATATGTCAAACATATTTTCGATTGATAAATAACGTTCTGAAATTATGTATCTGTAGATTTAAGACGTGTATATTCAGGTTCAACTTTTTAACAACAACATACAAGAATATCATGAATTCACCCTGGCCTCATCGTGATCGTAAGTCTGCGTTAACGTAGAGAGTATTAGCGCTGAAACCGCTTTGTGAAACGGGTCCGATATTATCAAAAATATCTTGATTAAGACATTCATCAGTGACATCATCTGAAGGGGGGCGGTCGGGTAGCCTAGTGGTTAAAGCGTTCGTTCGTCACGCCGAAGACCCATGTTCGATTCCCGACATGGGTACAAGGTGTGAAGCCCATTTCTGATATTGTTGGAATATTGCTAAAAGCGGCGTAAAACCATACCCACTCACTCAGCTGAAGGAAAAAGAAAGCGGGAAGAAAGAGGCATATGGTCAATGTGTTTTATTTCACGACATTGCACTTTATATACAGGGTCTTTAACGACGTTCTTCTCTTGGTAAGAACACCATCCAGCAATACCTCTGCTTTTTGTAATGTGAGCTACGCGATCAATGTCTTGAACCTAGAAAGGAAACTCCCATCGAGCAACATGTCGCCAGGATTATTCGAAAATGTCATTCATTTCCCATTACGTTTATTGTGTTATTATAGCCTAGAGCGTTTTCTCCATATTGCACATACATGTATTCATTGCTAACACTTTTATAAGGTAAAAGCTATGTGCAATAAGGTGAAAACGCTTCACAGGGAAAATGATATTTAAAACGTGATACGAAGGAGAATTTATGGATGTCAACTTCTTAATTATGTTTCGGAGTTAAGCTTACTCCTTCATCAGGCGACATTTTATCGATCCGAATTGCGTGGATCGATGCTCATGATATTAATCACTGGAATGTCTGGTCCAGACTCGATTATTTACAGACCGCTGTCAAACAGCTGTAATATTCCTGAGTGCGGCGTTAAACAACAAATAAACAAACAAAACATCAGGCGAATGATGACCTGACGAGTAAGCTTAACTCCAAAGCATTGTGTTCCTCATAACAAAGAAGTTGACCTCCATAAATTCTCTTTCTTATGTGTATCACTAAATGCCACTCAAACCGTCATGATTTCTCTGTGCGTACATATGTAGTTAAAGCTCTCTGTACGTACATATATGGTTATATGTTCAATGTGGTGAAAACGTCTAGGGAGAAAATGATACTAAAGACGTGATGTTTTCTCTGTACGTACACAGACGCATTCATTAATACCATTTTATATGGTAAAATCCGTATACGTTCAGAGAAAACATATATACGTTAAAACTGATTGCGTTTTAGGGGCTTGTTCTTTACGTCACACTGACGTTGTTTTATACGACAACACGCAAGCGCAAACGTTGTGGTAACGCCATGACGTGATCGTTTCAATACACTACCACCATCATCATCGCACAGACAGAGGGTACGCCTGTTTCATCAGGGTGACCCACATGCACGTAACATTTGAAGTTGTACCAGCTTTTCTAAGTTTAATGAAAACCTATGTCAGGCACAAAAGACGTCAAGCGGGCATGTTGACTAAACGGTACTAAAGCCTGCAATGAGTTTTTAAATTAAACTTTCACAAACACCCCAGTTTAATTTGTAGGTGTTTGCCCATTTTCGGACCTTCGTGCTGAAAAAGGTAAGTATTTTCGTGGATGCTTAAAGGGCAAGTTCACACGGAAATGAACCTATTTTTCTTGTACTTTTTCCACATTAAAAGTGTTAACCTAGAGGTGTCAAAGACAAAAATATAAAAATATCACAATTAATTAACATATTTTTCGCATTAAAACGATTTATATTTTTCACATTTACCAAGTGTTCTATTTCCACAACAAAAACACCATGGCTTATGCCCCTTGCAATATGACGTCATTGGTGCCAATTGATAAACATTATGACGTCATCATGCTTTGTTAGAGCCGCTTCACGTGGTGTAGGTCCAGGTGTGTGATTCTAGCGTCTCAGATGCCAGCCAGCATAGTGTTATGCTGAGTCACCACTGCGCCGGATTGTGTCGTAGGCCATGTTGTTTTACCGCAAACTGGTACTTGATATCTTTTGCGTTGAAAATAGACAGGGACCCAGTTGAATTGGCACCAATTACGTCATAATCTAAGGGGGATAACTCAGGCATGTTTAGCTCGAAAAACGAAGGCCTCATAACGGCATATCATTTTCACACTATTGTGAGCTTCCTACTTTCACTGTGAAAAAATGAGTGTATATTTTCAAACACAGATACTAATTAATTCTAAAATTGCGTTTTGTTTAGAAAAAGAAAGAAAGTGATTTTTGCGTGTACACTTCCCCTTTAAGTCTTAAGAATCAGGTTCATGAAGCGAAGTGTTGCACTCACATGTTTTGTTTATTCAACTCTCAAAAAGATATACATTCTTCTTATATTTTAAATGTATTGTTTCTGTTCATGTTCGATGTTAAGTGTAATTTCCTCGACGTTGAAAGAACTGAATGTGCGTTGTTAACGATACCCCGAAATTTCGTAACGCATATAATATACTATTCCACTGAAGGGGGATAGTTTAAGATTTCACATCGCCGTGTTTTTGTTGCAAATTTAATTGAATATTGTACACAAAGAAATCGAATGAGTTTGGATTTGTAAAGAGTTATGGCACAATGAAAATTAAACATTACTCTCAAAAAAGAATTAAAATGCAATATATTTAAAGACTTTTCCAACGACTACCGTACAATCATGCTAAGTAGTCCGACTGACCACGCTGTCACTATTTGCCCACATGCCTGGCCAGTCGGGTGTCACTGACCCTCTCTCCAGGAATGACCGCCACGTTGATGGAGGGGACAAAGCAAAGACTGTTTTAATGGTCAACGTAATTCCTGGTATTTACATTGAAAGGATCAATGACTACTGACTACATAAAGTCAGAGAAGCATGTTCGCAGCGCGGGTACCACCTGAACTGCCAATACACCATGTCCTTGTGATAGACGTATAATATGAGGGTTAAATGTTGAACTAAATTACCGCAAAGACTATTTAGTTTTTTCATCTATCCTTGTCACCTGCTGAAACACCCCAACTCACCCTCATCCCATCTCCATCCCCGTTCTGGCCCCAGTTGGAGATGAAGGAGTGTGAGATCATCCGATTTGGTAAAACGTCGTTAATTCGAAATCCTCTGCACTGTAGAATATGTATGTTTTAGCAGTGTGAGACAAACGGAGTTCCGATGGTATTTAATAGGACCGATAGACATTCGGCACGGACCATACCATTTTATAAAATTCGATTTAAGGATGAGGTACCGAATACTAAAAAATAAGGACTTACAGAAGAGAAGAATGTCGATACTTGACATAATTCATGAAGTAAAATATACATTGTAACTGTATTCATATCAACAACAAAAACTATCAAAGGCCAGAAGTTCCAGTTGAGACTTAAGTGTAAGTTTTAAACTATACATTCTTCAAAGGTGTTTACTAAAATTATCAGTTCTCGTGGTTTGTGTATGTACGAATCTCTTTTAGTCTGTCTCACAGTCCCTGAACCATATATTTTCCCTTCCGCCCATCCCTTACTGTAATGCTATAAGCTTTAAATGAAGCAAGCCCATGTTACTGAGGGTCATTTTCAATTTAAACGTTTGTGCTCGTTTCTATCAAAATAGAAACAAATCCTACCTCAGATGCACACATTTACCCAGGGGGCAAAATGTACCCTGAGGGGACAATTTCGTCATATAAACATGCTTTTTAAATTTACCCCAGGGGATTATATACCCCAACTCGATAGGTGGGGCACATTTCGTACCCCTGGAAGTAAAATACTTCCTGGGGCAAAGTTGTGCATATATAAACTAGGCTTTAGCGTTTGTTTAGACCGTCTTATATATTTCGGATTCTAGTATCATATAGTGTTCTCAACAGCCAATAATTTGAAAATGTCTGTGGCATGCATCAACAAATGCACATGATGTCAAACAGCTGGCTATGTTTATCAACTATATAAACATCCGTGAAGATCCGAGTTAGAATTGGTCTTCAGCAACCCATGCTTGTTGTGAGAGGCGACTAACGGGATTGGGTGGTCACGCTCGCTAACTTGGTTGATGCATGTCATCGTATCCAAGTTGCGTAGATCAAGGTTCAAGATATAAATCACTGGATAGTCTGGTCCAGACTCGATTACATACAAACCGCCGTCATATAGCTGGAACTATTGCTGGTATTAGTGCGGCGTTAAAAAAACAACAAACAAAATACTATACAAGCTGTTTATCTACTATACGAAATGGCCATACTAATAAGAACATGACCGACGACATATATTCTTCATGTAATAAATAATATACATAAAATGGTTGTTGCAGGACAGGATAAGAAGATGTTCTGCTACTACAGCAGTGACGCCAGGTGGCGCAGCGACTACGGCCGGTTCCAACCGGGCGACATCGACCCCTTCCTGTGTACACACGTCATCGTGGCTTTCGCAAAGGTGTTGCCATGGGGACTAGGACCCAACGTTGAAGGGGATGAAAAACCTAGTGGCTGGAATGGTCAGTAAAATAATTCTCTTAATTTTCTGTAAATTATATATATACCATGTCTGTCACTATAATTCTTCTCCTAGTACTACAACTACTACTACAACTGCAACTGCGACTTCTACAATTGCTTCAACTTTATTTACAGATGTTGAATATTTTCAGTTGGTACTTATTAGGAATTCACCAATAACTATAATACATGTACCGAATAGAAAGTGTAGCACTGGGCTGGCGATGAACGCCATATTGTCGCAATTCACATATTTCCCGTTTGAATGTTTCGAAAGTCGAATTGCATCATGCGGCCGTAGAAAAGCTTTCGCTGATTGGTAGTCCATGATTATTTGAGTATTTGGACTAAAATACCATCTTCGGAACACCATCTTCAATAGCAACACGTATCTTCAAATTATTTTTTGGGAAACAATGCTTCAGGTGTTTTTCTTGTTGTGTCAGTCCGTTATTTTCATTGTTTTTTGTACTTTTATGCATCTTCAAAATGTTTCATTTCATCATAGAGACCATTCTAAGAAATTTCTCTTAAAAACATATGACTGGCTTTCCTGGCAGTCGCCTCCTTTCGCCAGCACTCTATTGAGGTGACTCAATGAATATTGTGGTCAGTCTCGTTGATTTGGTTGAATGCGTGTCACGGTACATTAACGGCATGGATCGATTAAACAATATCCAATATCTAAAAAGAGTGGTTTTGTGTTTTTGTCACATATAATAACACCAACTTCAATGTTTTCAGCATTATACGCCAAGACCGCTGCTCTTAAAAAACGAAACCCTAACCTGCGCGTGTTGCTTGCGGTGGGGGGATGGAAGGAAGGATCGAAGCCGTTCAAGAAAGTCATAGAAACCGAGAACACGATATCCAAGTGGGCCGAGAACGCTGTCGCTTTCCTCCGCCAGCACAACTTGGACGGGATGGACATGGACTGGGAGTTCCCAGGGGTCAGAGGCAGCGTCCCTGCCGACAAATACAAGTTTACCATCTTATTGAAGGTACGCGTCCATATCTAGTGTCTCCTCCGACAAATACAAGATTACCTCCTTATTGAAGGTACACGTCCATATCTAGTGTCTCCTCCGACAAATACAAGATTACCACCTTATTGAAGGTACGCGTCCATATCTAGTGTCTTCTCCGACAAATACAAGATTACCTCCTTATTGAAGGTACACGTCCATATCTAGTGTCTCCTCCGACAAATACAAGATTACCACCTTATTGAAGGTACGCGTCCATATCTAGTATCTCCTCCGACAAATACAAGATTACCACCTTATTGAAGGTACGCGTCCATATCTAGTGTCTCCTCCGACAAATACAAGTTTACCACCTTATTGAAGGTACGCGTCCATATCTAGTGTCTCCTCCGACAAATACAAGATTACCACCTTATTGAAGGTACGCGTCCATATCTAGTGTCTCCTCCGACAAATACAAGATTACCACCTTATTGAAGGTACGCGTCCATATCTAGTGTCTCCTCCGACAAAAACAAGATTACCTCCTTATTGAAGGTACACGTCCATATCTAGTGTCTCCTCCGACAAAAACAAGATTACCTCCTTATTGAAGGTACGCGTCCATATCTAGTATCTCCTCCGACAAATACAAGATTACCACCTTATTGAAGGTACGCCACCATATCTAGTGTCTCCTCCGACAAATACAAGTTTACCACCTTATTGAAGGTACGCGTCCATTTCTAGTGTCTCCTCCGACAAATACAAGATTACCACCTTATTGAAGGTACGCGTCCATATCTAGTGTCTCCTCCGACAAATACAAGATTACCACCTTATTGAAGGTACGCGTCCATATCTAGTGTCTCCTCCGAGCAATACAAGATTACCACCTTATTGAAGGTACGCGTCCATATCTAGTGTCTCCTCCGACAATTACAAGATTACCACCTTATTGAAGGTACGCGTCCATATCTAGTGTCTCCTCCGACAATATCTAGTGTCTCCTCCGACAAATACAAGATTACCACCTTATTGAAGGTACGCGTCCATATCTAGTGTCTCCTCCGACAAATACAAGATTACCACCTTATTGAAGGTACGCGTCCATATCTAGTGTCTCCTCCGACAATTACAAGATTACCACCTTATTGAAGGTACGCGTCCATATCTAGTGTCTCCTCCGACAATATCTAGTGTCTCCTCCGACAAATACAAGATTACCACCTTATTGAAGGTACGCGTCCTTTTTAGTGTCTCCTCCGACAAATACAAGATTACCACCTTATTGAAGGTACGCGTCCATATCTAGTGTCTCCTCCGACAAATACAAGATTACCACCTTGTTGAAGGTACGCGTCCATATCTAGTGTCTCCTCCGACAAATACAAGATTACCACCTTATTGAAGGTACGCGTCCATATCTAGTGTCTCCTCCGACAAATACAAGATTACCACCTTATTGAAGGTACGCCACCATATCTAGTGTCTCCTCCGACAAATACAAGTTTACCACCTTATTGAAGGTACGCGTCCATATCTAGTGTCTCCTCCGACAAATACAAGATTACCACCTTATTGAAGGTACGCGTCCATATCTAGTGTCTCCTCCGACAAATACAAGATTACCACCTTATTGAAGGTACGCGTCCATATCTAGTGTCTCCTCCGAGCAATACAAGATTACCACCTTATTGAAGGTACGCGTCCATATCTAGTGTCTCCTCCGACAAATACAAGATTACCACCTTATTGAAGGTACGCGTCCATATCTAGTGTCTCCTCCGACAATTACAAGATTACCACCTTATTGAAGGTACGCGTCCATATCTAGTGTCTCCTCCGACAATATCTAGTGTCTCCTCCGACAAATACAAGATTACCACCTTATTGAAGGTACGCGTCCTTTTTAGTGTCTCCTCCGACAAATACAAGATTACCACCTTATTGAAGGTACGCGTCCATATCTAGTGTCTCCTCCGACAAATACAAGATTACCACCTTGTTGAAGGTACGCGTCCATATCTAGTGTCTCCTCCGACAAATACAAGATTACCACCTTATTGAAGGTACGCGTCCATATCTAGTGTCTCCTCCGACAAATACAAGATTACCACCTTATTGAAGGTACAATGTCTTTGTAAGTATATTCCCAAATAAGAAATTTAACGCCCTTTCCTTCCATATATAAACCGTTTGAGCACATCTAGTGCTTGCTGCCTTGTTTTATCCCATGACCTTCCGGCTGCATCAATATAAACTACATGTATCCTTCAAAACAAACTGACAAAAACCTGCTAAATAGTTTATTCTCAATGTTGGTGTCAAGCTGGATCCAATTAACCAAATTGCTATGGAAAATCCGTAAACAAACAGAGGATACAAGCGCCTTCTTATAAAAGTCACGTTTCAGGGCGGGGTAGTGAGGGAGAGGTCAAGATGAGATCGAGGCTCGGTAAACATGGCGAACAGGTCTCACCTACCGAAAACCGACCTGTCAATGTCGTAAAATTGACGGGATGTAAAGGCGGCCATGTGCGTTTCACACCTAATCACCAAATTAACTTCTCTGTTGGTAATCTCGCAACGTGATCCGTCGAATTCGATTAATTGTAAGAGAAACAAGAATTCCTATAAATCTTTAATAAGTAGTAAAGCTTCAGAAAGAAAGAAATCTGAAATAAATTTAAAGGAATTTAAGAGAGAGAATGAAATGAATAAAATGAATTAATGTTCTCGTTTAATAAATGATTTGGTTGATTTTTCATGTTCACAGTTTATAGTTCATATCTGTTTTATGTTATGGTTCGTCATGATCAGTTAAACATTAACAAATCGCAAACATAACGTTGAATAAATGACGGGAAATTTCCCAAAATCTGTGGACGTTATTTTCTTCCAAAATATGACAAACATCGGTTTTGTTCATTTGAGTATGAAATTTCGGCTTCAACTATAACGCTCGTATATGTATGTGATAGATGCTAATTCGTGAATGGACGTTTTTCGTTTAGACGTTTCAGGAAAAACTCCAAGAAGAGGCTAGGCAGACAGGGAATGAGAAAATGATACTGACGTTGGCTACTGCTGCAGGGCTTTTCTTCATTGACAACGCCTACGAAACGACGAAAATCCACAAGTGAGTTATATATTAACTGTTGAAGGTGGTATTCAACATTAATCCTATGCATATACACATTTGTTTATGGGTAAGGATTCAATGAATTCAAGTTGGATATGAGTATATGATGGCGTCAGATGTTGGTTTAGGAGACTGAATTCAATCTATTATTGAGCCTTGTATTGCGTTGTTGAAAATATATATCATTACTTATCTTCTTTTGTGTTCAAATAAATATATAAATATATCAAGCTTTCGACCTCCGGGCTTTCCTCAGGCACACTCGACCCGGGGTAGAACAGGCCTTCAGCAATCCATGCTTGCCGTAAAAGGCGACTATGCTTGTCGTAAAAGGCGACTAACGGCATCGTGTGGTCAGGCTCGCTGACTCGTAGCGCCACCAGTAATTATTATGAATTATGTCCCTTCTGAACCTCTCCTATGGACCAATCCCATTCCACCACTTGCATTTGTTTCTAACAAAATGGCGGCGCCCTGTCAAGACGATCTGATCGATAATCAATCTCATTAAAATCATAACCTATTCCTCATTGTCCTATAAGGCTAAAAAAAATAATAATCTTGGTTCTCAGGCACCGTCCGCATCACCATTAAGCACTGCCATACAATCTCAACTATTTATTAGACATTCCGGAATGTTCGTTTGTTCAATTTTCAAATTTTTAATCGAGAACTGTGTCAAGATATTTTTCAAGCCTAGTCTGAAATGGAAGTCGCCAGGTCGCCAGGGTGCCGTAAAGCTCGAGAAAGGTGCTTTCTAATTGGCTGATGTCGACTTCTGGGTAGTCATTTTAGTGGTTGGTCAAAGTTCGCGAAATGGCGTTCTGACGTGACCCGTAATGGGATGTCCTCAGATCTTTGTTTAGCGATAGCGAGAACTAAGATCTGATTTTAATGAGATTGGAACTATATTGTGATAAAACGGGTCTTACATCGCGAAGTGCATCAGATCATGCGAGAACCTTGATTAAAAACATGAAAAGGTTTGGAAAATATCTTTTGACAACGAGTTGGCGGTGCACATGCTTTGCAAATCCTGCAATCGACCGAAATCTGTACGACAGTTAACGAACCGGATTTCGATTTCGTTGCGAGATTTTGATTGGACTGTGCATTGACTCGTTAGTCCACCTTAAATGTAACTCCAAAATACCAGTCTAGTTCGGCAGGGGTGGAAACTGGACTTTTATACCCAGTTAACTCGCTTGCCTCGGGAAGATGTTTTCATGGCGACAGATATCTCGAACATATGCTGTTGATGACGCTATTCTATTCATCCAAGTATATCTCGAATATATGCTGTTGGTGACGCTATGCTATTCATCCAAGTATATCTCGAATATATGCTGTTGGTGACGCTATGCTATTCATCCAAGTATATCTCGAATATATGCTGTTGGTGACGCCGTGTTATTTCAGATATCTCGATTATATGCTGTTGGTGACGCCATGTTATTTCAGATATCTCGATCATATGCTGATGGTGACGCCGTGTTATTTCAGATATCTCGATTATATGCTGTTGGTGACGCTGTGTTATTTCAGATATCTCGATTATATGCTGATGGTGACGCCGTGTTATTTCAGATATCTCGATTATATGCTGTTGGTGACGCCGTGTTACTTCAGATTTCTCGATTATATGCTGATGGTGATGCCGCCGTGTTATTTCAGATATCTCTATTATATGCTGATGGTGACGCCGTGTTATTTCAGATATCTCGATTATATGCTGTTGGTGACGCCGTGTTATTTCAGATATCTCGATTATATGCTGATGGTGACGCTGTGTTATTTCAGATATCTCGATTATATGCTGCTGGTGACGCCCTGTTATTTCAGATTTCTCGATTATATGCTGATGATGATGCCGCCGTGTTATTTCAGATATCTCTATTATATGCTGTTGGTGACGCCCTGTTATTTCAGATTTCTCGATTATATGCTGTTGGTGACGACGTGTTATTTCAGATATCTCTATTATATGCTGATGGTGATGCCGCCGTGTTATTTCAGATATCTCGATTATATGCTGTTGGTGAAGCCATTTTATTTCAGATATCTCGATTATATGCTGATGGTGACGCCGTGTTATTTCAGATATCTCGATTATATGCTGTTGGTGACGCCCTGTTATTTCAGATATCTCGAATATATGCTGTTGGTGACGCTGTGTTATTTCAGATATCTCGATTATATGCTGTTGGTGACGACGTGTTATTTCAGATATCTCGATTATATGCTGATGACGCCGCCGTGTTATTTCAGATATCTCGATTATATGCTGTTGGTGACGCCGTGTTATTTCAGATATCTCGGTTATATGCTGATGGTGACGCCGTGTTATTTCAGATATCTCGATTTTATGCTGATGGTGACGCCGTGTTATTTCAGATATCTCGATTATATGCTGTTGGTGACGCCCTGTTATTTCAGATATCTCGATTATATGCTGTTGGTGACGCTGTGTTATTTCAGATATCTCGATTATATGCTGTTGGTGACGACGTGTTATTTCAGATATCTCGATTATATGCTGATGATGACGCCGTGTTATTTCAGATATCTCGATTATATGCTGTTGGTGACGCCGTGTTATTTCAGATATCTCGATTATATGCTGATGGTGACGCCGTGTTATTTCAGATATCTCGATTATATGCTGTTGGTGACGCCGTGTTATTTCAGATATCTCGATTATATGCTGTTAATGACGTACAACTATCATGGGCTGTGGGAAAAGAACATCGGGCACCATAGCAGCATCACTCCTAGCAAAGCGGACGATGGGGAGAGAAAGAGTCTGTGTCAGGTGCGTCAACGTCGTGGGCTACATTCTGAGAATAATAAAATAAACTTACAGTTATCAAGATTGGAGATGCAATTCTGAAGTGCAGACAGTTACAACGAAATACTTCTTTGTCTGAACAAACACTATTTCTTTACAGTGCCAAGAAATAAGGAAGACATTTTCATAATAGTATGTACCCTTTGTGAAGATCATACTTCAGGATTGAAAAAGTATCGTTCTATCTGTATTCGTAGTACAAGGTAAACAAGGTACAACTAAGGTATACCGTATGTTAAGATGTTACGTTAGACTGGTAAGTAGACCATACTGAGATCTATACAGCCCATGGTAGTTTCTCTGTGTTCCAGTATAAGACTGAACTCACAGATGTCTGGACTACAGTATACGGTAGTATCTCTGATGTCCTGTTCCATTATTAGTCTGAACTCACAGATGTCTGGGCTACAGTATACGGTAGTATCTCTGATGTCCTGTTCCATTATTAGTCTGAACTCACAGATGTCTGGGCTACAGTATACGGTAGTATCTCTGATGTCCTGTTCCAGTATTAGTCTGAACTCACAGATGTCTGGGCTACAGTATACGGTGGTATGTCTGATGTCCTGTTCCATTATTAGTCTGAACTCACAGACATCTGGGCTACAGTATACGGTGGTATGTCTGATGTCCTGTTCCAGTATTAGTCTGAACTCACAGATATCTGGGCTACAGTATACGGTGGTATGTCTGATGTCCTGTTCCAGCATAGTCTGAACTCACAGATGTCCGGGCTACAGTATACGGCAGTATGTCTGATTACAGAATTGGACAGTTCAGTTCTGGAAGCAGCAGGGCGTGCCCAATGAGAAGCTAATCCTCGGCCTGGCCACCTACGGGATGAGCTACACCCTCATGAACCCGAGCAACACGTGGATCGGGGCGAACGCCACTGGGGGAGGCAAAGGGGGCAGGATTACCAAGGAGCCGGGGATCCTTGCCTACTATGAGGTGGGTAACTGACACGAGCCTCGGTCTATATCATCTATCATTAAGTCTTCCTTCAGAAACAAAGCGATATTTCATGCTCTTAGACCCATGTCTGGATTGTTCATTCGGGTCCATTTTGAATTTAAATAAATAAACTAAAAATAAAATGATTGGTCATTCAGCATCTTCTCGTTTGTTAAACTTCTTTTCTGAACATAAACCTTTTTGGGGTGATTTTTTCAAAAGGCTTATATGGCAATAGTTTCCATCATTATTTCCCCCTGTGTTCCCTGTGAAGATGCTGCTCAGTAGGTAATAAGGAACATTGCCACCACATTGGTATTCCGCACTGTATTCCAGATCTGTGAAAACATCAGATTCAACTCGTGGACGAAGGAATGGATCGAGGAGCAGAACTCCCCATACGCCTTCGGCGGGGACCAGTGGGTGGGATACGATGACGTCAACAGCATTGGGATCAAGGTGGGCGACGCTTCGGCTAATATCCAGCACTATTCACTACTATGAAATTACTGATGTCTCAGTGACAGTTAACCATTATTGCTCTTACAAACCAAAAAAACAAAAACGACAGGCGTCCCCAAAATGATCGCCACTGAGGGAATTCCCCTTACTGTGGTTAAACTGGGTTCCCGGTGTTGACGCGCTGCGTAATTTCAACAATTATACCGATCGGGCCAACGCCCAGCATGCCCGCTCCTGCCTTTGGTTTGTTAATAAATTACCTAGGTTTTTTCATCCTTCACTGTGATTACCATCATTGATTACTGCGTCCACAACTTATGTGTCCTCGGTAGGTGATGCCTTCAGTTGTTTACTCAGGGAATAATGCCTGACTGGCATTTATTGCGTGGAATCGGGTCGAGGGCCGCTTGGTGTTCTTTTTATTCAACAGGATGTCAGTAATTAAACGCAAGTTACCGATTGTTAATTGTTATTTTAATTATTCACAATATCAAGATTAAGGTTCGTTTCACACATTCAACAATGTATGCAATGTTGTTATTTTTGTAGGATTACTAGAAATAGCAGAAGTAGTATATGAATACGGGCTGAGAATCATAAGATAGATAAACGCGCCAAAAGCATCAAACGTAGAGAACAGTTGTCGCCGCTGCGCCGTAGCTTAAGACCACGCCCCCAAATACGTTTGTTTTGGAAGTCGATTACGGAGCATGTGATTTCAGCACATTCACTTGGACATTTAAGTACTTTCTATGAATATTATGATTTTGTCTCTCTCGGAAATTGACTAAATGTACCCTGGAAAATTGAAATTCGCCACAAAATCGCAATCATTTTTTTCACTTACTTTGAAGATTGTTTCCCTTCATTGCGATAAGCAATGGTTTTTATTTTAAAGTTAATAGTCTGAGGCGCCACATCTCACTGTACAGAGTTGCGTCCCTTACCTTCATTGTCTGTCGGTTTAAATCCAAGTTTTGCCCCGGTATAAATCCTAGTATTGACTCTTGACTTTCAGCACCAACCGAGCACGTGGAAGTCGAAAGCATCAAAGTTGGCCACCTTGGGCTTTCTTATTCTTTTTTTATTGCTTAAAGTTTTTGTTTTTGTGAATGTTTTTTCTGATAAACAGAACCGATTCTAAGTGACGTTTATTTTGTCATTTAGAGAGAAAAGAAAATAACGAGAAAGGAAATTGTTTGTTAACGTGTCACTGGTTGTACAGATGAACACTATTCGGGCAGATCTAACCTATGAGACACTTGGTAAAACATTAACTTGAAGATCATCAAAAAATGATTTAAAAAACAATATAATACATCGATTGAAGTAGTATGATAAATAGCAGTATGTTCACACGCTCACGTGTATGCATGCTCACACATGTACACACATGCATGCCTAGATACATACGTATGAATGACTACATATATACATGCACGCACACACAAGTCAACATACTATATACATTATTCACACACACGTGAATCCTACATGTGCCCACACATTACACACTCGTACACTCATCCATCCACACGATTTACCTCAAACGAACTCTCAAGGTCCTACCTGAAAATATAGGTCAGCTCTTATGATATTTGGTGTTACCGTTCGATGACCTTCACCTTGGCTATTGCGTCCTCTCCCAGGCAAACTACATCAACAGCCAGAACCTAGGTGGCGCCTTCATCTGGTCCGTGGAGATGGACGACTTCACAGGGAACGGCTGTGGACTCGGAAAGTATCCACTGCTTAGACGGATCTCCGAGATAATCCGTCCAGCCAATGAGTTCCCGAATGAACCGCCTATTGAGAAGCCGTCACCAGTCACGGCTCCCCCTGCTTGGAAGCCACCGACCAGGAAGCCACCGACCAGGAAGCCCCGCCCAGAGGGTGTGTTCCCTTCAATCAACCGCATTGGTACGTTACCCGTACTTCTGGACGAACGTTTAGTTTCTAGAAATATATAATTTTGATAGAAACCCAAAAAAATCCATTTAAAATGAAAAGGGGCCTCGGTGAGATTCAGCTTGAACCTGCGGAAAAATCTAGACTTGCTTTATGTAGAGAGCTACAACATTATAGTAGGACTGCGGAAAGGCTGGGGATAGGACTGGGGCTGGGAATAGGGCTGGGGATAGGACTGGGGCTGGGGGATCGAGCTTGGGCTGGTAATAGGGCTAGGGGCTAGGGCTAGGGCTGGGGGGTCGAGCTGGGGCTGGGGATAGGACTGGGGCTAGGGGATCAAGCTAGGGCTGGGGATAGGACTGGGGCTGGGGGATCGAGCTGGTGCTGGAAATAGGGATAGGGGATAGGGCTGGGACTGGGGGATCGAGCTGGGGATAGGAAAGGGGTGAGGTTAGGTTGGATGGAGGGAAGGGGGCGTTGAACGTATTGGCAAGAGACAGAATATGTTTTCGGCCACTGCTAACATACAAGACATGTTTCTTTTCTCTGGCAGACGGAGCCAACGATCAAATCAATGGTCGGTATCTAATATAAATGTGACCCTGTATATGCATAGAACATATAGTTTTCTAGTGTTGGTTCAATCTCATTAACATCATATCTTAGTTCTTAGTTCATATCAAAGACCTTAGTACGTTCCATTACGGGGCGCGTCAGAACGACATTTCATCCGAGCAACGAAAGCGTCGATTACCAGATCAGGAAAGTGACAGTCGTTATGTGTTTTCTAAACATGCCACCTCGAAAAGTTTAACATGGGGTATTCCGAACGACAATTACGTGCTTTACGACAGTTTCCGTCAAAATCATCGTCTATCCCTTGCTTCAATATGGTAAACATTCGAAGGGAAGAACCATTGTCTTGCCCGTGGGAAGTACTGCCATACAATGTATGCCACATAATAGATTTTGAATGGAGACTTTGTCAAAATATTTTTCAAATCTCAGTTCCCAGTTTGAAATTAGTGCCGTATAGCTCGAGAAAGCTGCTTTCTGATTGGCTAATATCGATTTCTTGATAGTCATTTCATTGGTGGGTCACAGTCGTCAGATTTTTGTTTTGCGGTAGCGAGAACTAAGATCTGGTGTTAATGAGATTGGTGTTGGTAACACGTTATGCTAAAATGTCGATGATGCTAATCAAGACTACATAGGACGCGCTCTGCATCGCTGTGTTTCAGAACTTCCTGATAACATGCCCCTGACGTGTGCGGAGAATGGAGCTGGATTGTGGGCCGACGAAGAGGACTGCCACGGCTACTACTCGTGCACCGACTACATGGGCTCGCGCATGTCATGTGGACCCTACATGGCCTTTGACCCCGAGTCAAGCAACTGCGGGTACACGACAGATAAATGTCCGCCGATGTAGCTGAAGTGCCAAGCTGAATTGCGAATACGTTCTATGTGAAGAACGTAGCGAATCATGCGTAGATACGTGGGATCGTCGGGTTCATAACGGAAACTGCGACTGCATTTATCTATATTGGTTGTGAATAGTGTTTGAAATAACTATAACATGTTACGACCCACAGACTGGTAGATTTCCAAACCTACTTCCCCTCAACCGATATATCTACACACAGTTAAACCTCGACAATCTGGACTGTACCATTTCAATGGTAATCATCTATATTATGTCTCATCAAGATTGACCGGTAGGCGGGGTGTCCGGATTCACGAGATGTCCCTGTACATGTCGTCTCGAGAGTGAGCCAGCAGCTAACTGTTTCTTAACTGATGCTCTGCTTAAGACCTTCATCTTCTATTTATATTTCAATTGTGTAAAAGTTAAAATTGAATTCAGAAAATGACCAAATATGTTATTAAAGTGTGAGAAGTTGAAAAATATATCACTGGACAGACTTGATTGATGACATAAATGATAACTATAGTCTGTCACAAATATTACTTGCAACGGGATAACGGAGAAGTGTTGAAAGCTGGTTTCATGTCAGTTGCGAAAGGAAATGTGAATTTTCAGACATTTAGGTAAGAAGAAGTTAAGCTAACTATTTAAGAACGAGTCGTAGTCAACACATGTTTTTGTCTAATTGTTTTGTATTGCATTGTTAACATAAACAAAACGGCGAAAAATGATACTTGCTATTCACAGCAATTAGACATCCAGCTGCAGTCCTGTTTTCGTACACCGCATAATTCCTTATCATCAAGCTCATTTCACTTATATTTTATAGATGTGTGCAAAATAACTTATTTGTCATATTCATTAACACATTAAAGTTTTCAGTAGATTTTTTGTTTTATTTTCTTTTTCTGTCCCTGCGTTCCGGTACATGTGACAATGACATTAACATGGTATTGAGTGTGATGGGGGTTTAACGCCGTTTTGAGTATTCCAGTTATTTCACGGCGTGGCAGCTTAATGTGGGAAGAAAGCCCGATGTGATGCAGGCACGTGAGTGAGTGAATGAGGCGGGGGACACCGGAAAGTGGGCTTCACATATTGGTTCACACAGGAATTTTGGTGAAACCCACGACCTCGGGTATGGTGCTGTCAACCTAGAAACAAAATCGGGGCGCACCGGGATTCGAACCCACAATGATAGTTTTTTGGAGCGCCCCCGAGTGACTGACCTCTGTGGCACCATAGACGACTGGGCCACCCGTTTCCTAAAAGAGGCTATACAATGAGTCAAAGATAAAGCATCAGCCCTATAAAAGCCTGGTTCCCTGGGTATGCTGTGTTGGCGCCAACGCAGCATACCCAGGGAACCAGACTGTCTCTATTACAAGTGCCAGTACTCACGAACGTCCTTGTGGCACGTGCTCTATTCTTGAATTTCGGAAACAGTGTAGGTAGCTCGCACATAGTCGGTGTTTTCAGTTAGGTATCCCATCCGCACTGGGAAAGGAGATGAGACGTACGCAGGTCGTAGAAGGCCTGGTTTGGCCCTTTCCCCCCTCCATATAGATGCAATAGTACTTTGTAGCGCAATAACAAATCTTTTCGGAATATATTAATATGTATATGTACAATAGTCATTTCCAGTTACTTCACATCTGTATATAGTTCATTTAGCTAACAACAACAGATAATTCATAATCATCGTTTTGTTCACTGACACCACAAAATAATATTCCCATAATTATCATATGTTTTGTTATGGATATTAACTCTAGACCACTTAAAGAAATCCAACCAAAAGGGCAAAACATTTTGGCAATAAAATAGTTAATGCCTCATGGTATCTACACTTCCACAAAATACACAAATTACTGTCCTTGACATGTTAGTATCATATTGAGGTATACGTTACACGGAATAATAGAATGCAGTATATTACATTAGATTGTTTGTATTTATATTCCAAGTAATTTCAATTTAATTTGATCTTCATTATGTAATGTACAACAGGTATACGATCATACGAATATTTATTTCTTTTCCTTTAACTTCAAGAGGTAAATTAACATTTTTAAGAGGAACCATGTCCTCTAAATAAACATGTTTCCCAACAGCTTTCCTTCATGCGGTCACATGCAAGTTTTCTGTTTGTAATATTTATACGATATGTTCTGGCTATAGTTTCATAGTAAGTAAAACTGCCCCTTCTTATTGAATAATTGTCTGATGTGGATAATACCTGCATGCTTCCATTCTTCATCCTAAATATTCTTTCTATTCACCAATACCTTTTTGTTTTTCCAAATAATCTCCTAGTATACATCAATATTGTCTTTCAAGATAGGAGACTTCCATATATTTCAAATGTCCTGAATTTTCTTTCTTTGAAATATTTTGAAAGTTAAACTAATCTCAAATACTTCGAAAGCTGAGGTTTTAATCGCACCATTCTCAAAATTCTGTGTTAGTCTGACCCCATATACGATGTACGATTCCATATATGGAAAACAATTATCAATACATTTATTTAACTCTTTTCTTTGAAATACCCATACAAATTGCTTGATGAACTAATCTATAAATACCTCATGATTTACTTACAAGCAACGCCCGTAAAAGGTTACATTCCTTGTTCTCCAACCATCGACACGCCAAATGGTGCCCTATAGTTGTCATTTTTAAGAGACATTAAAACAGATTTTCAGACATTTAGTTTAATTATAAGTTCTGAGTAAGCGACTTGTGCCATATATAATATAAGAGTTTTTCTTATAGATTTCTCATTCCTTAATTGTGGTGCTGAGATATCAACGAAATAAATGCCTTTCAGTTCTTTGTTTCCAATTATAATCCAGTGATATTGAAATCAAGACCAAATTTATTATTTATCAACTCTCTAGAGATTAAAAATAAATAAGGGCTTAAGGGACATCCCTGCCTAGTTCCACTATGATTTTCAAACCAGCGAGTAGCTTGACCTTCATTTATTACACATGATCATATATTAGTGAAGCACAATTTTACTCTGTCTATGAAATGAAGTGAGAACCCAGATTTTCTTAATGAATTAATAATAAACTGAAATTCTATTGAATCAAATGTATTTTCAAAGTCCAGGAATATAATATGACCTTCTTCTTCATAAGTTTCTAAACTATTTTTCAGGACGCCACTACGTAACAATTTAAAATCCTTGTTGTTTGTTTTCTATTATAGTTATGATGCCCCGTCTTTGTGAGATGCTTAATCGCTTTACACCAATAGAGTAATTCAGTGACGACATTTAGTTCAGGCATTTCCGACTTTGCAGGAATTTTGATTTACGCATTCAGTGCTGATAGGTTTCGTCAGCACGTCATGAATCTTGACAAGTGCATGGAATGGTAGGAGTATGGTGCTAGGCAAAACATAGGAGGCAGGATTGGGTTTTAGTCAATTTCTTACTGAGAATGTATGACCGTATAATTACTGATCGCGTTGATTTTGTAATTTGAAATATGACATGATAGATGGGACTAGGGTGGGAAGATTAAGAGAGAACATTTCACTTTCATTTTCCCGAGGCGGGAAGTTAACTGACTACAAATGCCCAGTTTCCACCCTTGCCAAACAAGGCTGGAATTTCTGGGCTCGATCGTAGCGCCACCAGTGGCTATTGCGAGTTAAGTCCCTTCTACGTTCCCCTTGTTGACCAATCAGATTCCACCTCTCATATCACTTGCATTTGCTTTAAACAAAGTCAAAACGATCCGATGCTCGAGTGTATCTCAAAAGTTGTGAAATGTAAACACCAAAGGCTGGAGCTGCTGAAATATTGCTCGAGATGATGGGAAAGTTGACTATTGGGAAAACTGAAGTCATCCCTCTTGTCAAATAGTATTGTGGAGAGTGTTTTGTCACTCTGAATCTTTAGCCATAGATCTAAACATGAAACAGATGAGGCGGACTCACTGGTCTCCTTTATTTCTAGTTCAGGCGGGTAAATCATTGGAAGGCAATCGGCTATTCAATGGTTATTGAAGTATATCTCAGGAAGGTTCTTATTGTTGTGCTAAAATGAACATTGGGCGGTTACAAGGATTCTGTTACGTGGATGTAAATTGCCTGGACGTTTATATCTAGCGTCGAGTCTTTCGAACGAGAAGCAAAACGACACTGTGGTGGTAAATGTGGCCATGGTATTGAGTAGAAAACAATAGGGAGATTTAATACACTGGATAATCGAGAAAGCATCTCGGTGATCCCTTCTTCCTGCGAGACCTGATTTATGTTTCTAGGGTTGTCAGCACCATACCATGTTCGTGGGTTTCAACAAAGCGGTAACCGTCTAAGACCTGCATAACTTCGGGCTTTCCTTCCAGATTAAGCTGACAGTGACAAAACTAAGACTTTTAAATGCGGTGCTGAACCCAACTAAGTTTGACGCATTTACTATTCAATATCTATTAGTTAAAGTGGCCGAGGCAGTAAGATCGACCCCTTCTTGTTAACAGTAACTTTTGAGAAATACATTTTAGTTGAAATACTTTGTGTACTTAAAGATAACTATGGGATATTAACAATTACACGGTATTCTGAAATATGCACTCTGATCGAACTTGTAAAGGTCGATGCAAAATCACCATGGGATTCCATTAGAACGTGATCTGTTGAGTGAATTGTAGTTATGTATATGTTTAAAAAAAGCATAAATATTTTCTTTTGCGATTATCACAAACTGATAAACGGTAAAAGGGTTTGGGGATTGCACATTAAATCGTTTAAAACAAAAAATGTTCGATGTATGTAAAAATGTTAATAAATAATTCGCGAAACAATTAGGAAACAAACAACTGGTCAATTAATTTTTATTTATCTTGACACGTTACCATCTGATTCTATTATATGTTAATTATACACTAGCATGATTAGTATGTTTTAAATTGACATTTGGAGACTGGTGAATGTTGCGAGGCATTTCAACGTGTCCCAGAACATCTATAACGTGTCCCCACTCATTAGTACAATGGTTGTTTGGCTGATGAATCATCCATAAAATATGACCATTCATACTGATTCCATCCCATTGTTTTCGACTGTTTGCGAACTGACTTAAAGAGCAAAGTATGATATGGGCCCGTTTTTGCCCACGGGATATGCATACTTTAAGAACTGGAGAAAACGTTTGTATGCCAGGTATCACAATGGGAATTATAACATGTACATTTCAATAACTGCATGTTTGGGACATATAACAATACTAAATGCATAGGTAAGGCTGACATAGGTGACAATGTGCCAAGCAGGCTGATTTTAGAGGGTTTTCAGGAATCATTTCTCATACGATCACCTTTCTGCGAATCCTGTTATCATCACTAGAGATTCATAAACGTTGCTTATGATATGGTCGGGATCGTAAAAGGGACTCTAATGATATTTCTTATGGTCATGGAAATGGTTTTGTCGCTCAGTTATATAATATGTGAACAAGAGAATATCTTAGACCCAAGCCGATTTTCTCAGAACAAAGAGATCAAATTCATTTTTGGTCACTGACTCATCATTCTTAGATTTTCCTTTTGAGCTCGAAAAATTGTTTTATTTACCAATACAGAATGAGGAATGTCTTTGGGTTATAAGGGACAAGGACACAAAACTTCAATATCATATATGACCATCATTGAGAGCCTGACACCGCCGACCAATGGGTGAGGTGATGTGATGTGATGTGATGTGATGTGAGGTGAGGTGAGGTGAGGCGATGCGATGCGATGCGATGCGAGGTGAGGTGAGGTGAGGTGATGTGATGTGATGTGATGTGATGTGATGTGATGTGAGGTGAGGTGATGTGATGTGATGTGATGTGATGTGATGTGAGGTGAGGTGAGGTGAGGTTAGGTGATGTGA